TTATGATCCACCCAGAAATTCATGAAATGAGAGTTGAAAAAAGTTATTTTTTAAAGATGTGCTTTATATGAGATGAAGATAGTTTTTGAATTTGAATACTTAATAAGAGAGTGTCAAAGTAAAACTAAGCTAGAATAATTGTCATTTATTTAAAAAAATGGTTTTGGCTGCACTACACAACAGGTGGGGACCTCCCTGACCAGGGACTGAACCTGTACACCCTGCAGTAGAAGCATGGAGTCTTAAGCACTAGACCGCCAGGAAAGTCTGACATCTATTTTTTAATATCTGGATGTTTGCTATTGGGTTTTAGAATGTCTTCCCTCTAAGAGTGCTCATCTTATAATCTTTGTGCTACATGACGCAACACATTTATTTTCATAACTGTAACCCTCAGGTTGAAAATCAAGCTCTAATTTTAATTTTTTTTCAAAAAGCAAATATTTTAAAAATAATTTTTATTGGAATATAGATGACTTACAATATTTTGTTAGTTTCAGGTGTACCACAAAGTGAATCAGTTATTCCTATACATACAAGATATCCGCTCATTTTTAGATTCTTTTCCTATACAGACCATTATAGAGTCTTGAGTAGAATTCCTTGTGCTGTATTGTAGGTCTTTATCAGTTATCTATTTTACACATAGCAATGTGAATATGTCAATCCCAATCTTCCAGTTTATCCCTACGCGCCTTTCCTTCCTGGGTAACCATAAGTTTGGGGCTTCCCTGGTTGCTCAATTGGTAAAGAATCTGCCTGCAATTCGGGAGACCCAGGTTCAATCCCTGGGTCGGGAAGAACTCCTCGGGAGGGGAATGGTTACCTACTCCAGTATTCTTGTCTGAGAAACTCCAGGGACAGAGAAGCCTGGAGGGCTACAGTCCATGGGGTCACAAAGAATTGGACACGACTGAGCGACTAACACTAAGTAACCATAAGCTTGGTTTCTACACATTTAACTCTGTCTGTTTTGTAAATAGGTTCATTTGTACCTTTTTTTTTTTTTAAAGATTCTACTTTAAAAATTTTAAAGATTAAAGAATCTTTTTTTAAAGATTCATGAGTGGTATTATATGATGTTTGTCTATCTCTGACTTAGTTCACTCAGTAAGATGTTCTCTAGGGCCATCCATGTTGCTGCAAATAGCATTATTTCATGCAAAAATCAAATATCTTAAGGATTGTGCTTGTTCAGAAAGGAGAAGTAAATTTGACACTTTAAATGTAAATTATTCTCAGCAGTCGGAAAATGTGAAAATAAATTAGTTCATAAATGGAGATTGCATATTTTTCTTTGTGTGTGTAATTAATTCTCATTCATGCAGGAAATAGAAACATTTTGCCTACATTTACTTTCAAGCACACCTCTTTAATTCAGAGTAACCTAATATTGCCTTCCTGAAAAAATGCAGATAACTTATTTGGAACAAGCATCATATATTATCAGTAGCTTTCAATTAGAAAAAAATCTCAATTTTGTGTAAACCATTTTAGCAGCAGGCTGGCGGAGTCTAATTTGTGAGCCAATTATAGCCTTGATAGGGGTCTGCAAACATTTCTTTGAGCTGCTTAGGCTAAGTATTAATATAAATATGAAACATCTTTTTCTATTAGAAAACTAATTGAAATATTTTAAAGTGCATGAAAAACAAATGTTTTTCTACGTTGTTACTATATCTTTATGTATAAGTCAATAGGTGAAAATATGTAATGATAACTCATATATTTCAGTTTAAACCTCATGTGGTTTTCCTTATTTAAAAGTCACTATGTTTTATAGGGCTTCCCAGGTGACACTAGCAGTAAAGAACCCACCTGCCAATGAAGGAGACATAGAGATGTGGGTTCTATCTCTGGGTCAGGAAGATCCCCTGGAGGAGGGCATGGCAACCCACTTCAGTATTTTCTTATTTTTTTTTTTTTGGCCACAGGGTGTGGCATGTGGGAGCTTGATTCCCCACCCAGGGATCAAACTTGTGCCCCCTGTAGTGAAAGCCAGGAATCTTAACCACTGTAGTCCCCCACTCCAGCATTCTTGGCTGGAGAAAACCACGGACTACAGGCCATGCAATTGCCAAGAGTCGCACACGACTGAAGTGACTTAGCATGCACACACATATTTTATAGGTACCCCAACAAATTATGATTTCTCATCAATGATCATGATTTATTAGGCATGCACATAAACTATTTTATATTACTTGTTAACAAGTTTATCTCTTACATCGACCCAGAGTAAGCATTGAATTCCAGCTGTTTGATCTTGGATAATTATTTATCCTCTCTGAGCCTCACTTTCCACATTTGTAAATGGGGATGATAAAACTTACCTCACTGAGGAGGGCCAATATTTGTTGTAGGAGAAACCCTAATCATAGATCCTAGTAAATCCTAGGTACCCAATTATACGGAATTTCAAGTGAATAAACCTAGTGGTCACTCTTTTTCCTTGTCAGACTTGTCTTCTCAGCAGCATTGGATACAGTTGTTTATTCTTTCCTATTTGAAATATTGTCTTCATCTTTCTGCTTCTATGACACAAGAGCTGTCTCACATCATTGGCCGTTTCTTCTTAGTCTTTTATGTTGGGCCTTTAGAATTTTGAGAATGCCTCATAGCTTGGTTTGGGCTCTCTTTTCTTTCTATAACTTTCCCTCAAGCGACCACTTCCAGTCCTAAGTTTTTAAATTATATCGTGACTTAAATTCATCACTCTCAACTCTATACTCTAACCTGCTGAGTTCCATAGTTCTATTAATATATCTGACTGCCTACTTCAATATTGGGTAGATATCTCACATGTAACATTTTATAAATCAGAACTCTTGGTTCCTTAGTCCTAAACTGCTTTATCCCTAGTCTTTCTCATCATTTTAAATGGCACTCCCCTGCCTCCACCCCAGCTATTCTAGTTCAAAATCTCGGAGTCATCTTTTACTCTCTTTCCTTATCTTCCACATCCTACATGGGTGTCCTATCTTCATTATTTTTTAACCTGGACTATTACAATATTTTCCCAACAGGTCTCTCTTCGTCCATTCTTGACTCTCTAATTCACTCCCCTCACAGCAAGCGGAGTGATCTTTCTAAAAAGAAAGAGGTGGAAGTTACAAATATGAAATAAAAAACATCACATTCTGATAGACTTTTGAAGTTCTCATTTTTAAACTTGCATGTTATACTTTCCATGTTCATTATACTATAAAAGGACATATCCCAAAAGGACAGATTAATGTTCAGAAGCAAAACAAATTCATTTGGATATGTACCACCACTGCCCTAAAATAGATGTCAACTAATAGTTTCCCTTTCTTTTTGAAATAAGTACTTCTTAATGTCAGGACTTTTTTAAAGTGTGCATTTCAGTGGCATTTAGTTGTGCATCCATTACCTCTATCCAGTTTCCAAATATTTCATCACCCCCAAGAGACTTAATGTTGAGACTTTTGCTTTTACTTTTAAAGATATTTTTGAAATTTTTCAGCTTGTGTAATTTGCTAGGCAACTTAAAATGCTGAGCTCTTTACAGCAACTTCTTTGTGCTAAGTTAAAACACACCTGTTAAAATATCTCACTGTATCTTCACATGGTGGAAGGGACTAGGGATCTCTTTAGAGACTTTTTTTATAAGGCACTAATCCCATTCATGAAGAACCCATCCTCATAACTTAAGTACTGATCAAAGGTCCCAACTAATACCATCATTTTGGAGTTTGGAATTTTAGCATAAATTTGTGGGGCACACAAATATTCACATCATAGCAAATATTATAAATATAAATAGCCATAAATTAATGATGCTCCTAGTAACACAATACTGATTTATTGCACATTTATCATGGGTTGTCAGTATGCTTGATATTATAAAAATTTTATATCAGATACATCAGCATTAAGACTTACTCTTCATTTTAAAAACACAGTAACAGGCTTAAAGAGAATGAAATAAAGGGATTCTGACAAATTTATAGTGTAAAAATGGACCAAGGAGAAAAAAAGAATATTATGAAAAGTGCAGTTTTTAATAATTATAATTGAAGTCAAATTTTAAAGATATGGTGCATACCTTATTTGGTAGTTTTGAAGATGTTTTTCCTTTTCCTCAACAGAGGCCATGATCCCCTTGTGGTAAACTTTAGTTTTCAAATGTCCTCTCAAAGCCATGTTAAGCTAAGTACTCCTTACTAAAACTGTAGCCCTTCAGATGTTATGTAATTATTCTATTAATTTACTTAATTTTCTTAAATGGTCATAAATAACCATAAACAACCATAAACAACCATACTGTTGGCACATTTCATTTGTATTTTTTGTCTCTTCTTTGACTTCTGAGCTGTCAAAAGCAAAAGGCTTCGTTTGGAGGAGGTATTCTTCTGAAAGGATATATTAAAATGTATGTTTTATTATGCAAGGTATACATTTTGCACTCCATAGTGTGAACTGAATCTAAAGTGTTGCCTAAGAAATCTTCTTGATCTTTGTATGAGATTGAATTCAAATGAGAAGGGTGTCCTGTAGGGATTAAATTCCTTGGTCTACACTCTTTGTAAACTGGTAAAGTCAAGTAACAAATTTAAAAAGGATTGCATTTGTTAGACATTGAGAGTGGTTAACAGCTTACTGCTCAAGTGTAAAGTTTCTCACACAGAATCACTCGGCCCTCCCCATTACCCAGAACATCATGGGTATTTTTAAAAATTAATTAACTAGTTAATTAATTTTTAAAGTTGGAGGATAACTGCTTTACACTGTTGTGTTGGTTTCATCATGTGTATTTTAGACAGTTATACTTTTCCTGCTTAACAGAGAAATAAAATAAGAACACTGGTATGTCCAAATACAGCACAAATTGAAGTCAGTATTTTTAATTCCCATTTCTACTCTTGCTGTCAGATCCCTGTTTTTATGGAATTTTGAAAATTTATCATTAAATTATGGTTTGACAGTGACTGGTCTTTGTCTCCCTTCCCCCCCGTCCCCCCTCCTCCTGACCCCAGTATAAGAAGTGTCGTTCTTCTCTTGCGCATGCGAACAACTTTGCAAAGTCTGTGGTCAACCTTGTGGATTCTGTAAGTATCCTGGTTTTCTTGAACCCGTTTTTCCAAGATGGAATGGTTTATATCTCCATTATTTACTTGTTGCTTTAGTTGTTTCTGGGACAAAATTAAGAACACTATCCTTAAGCTCATTTGGCTAAGAAATTATAGACTGGTCTGAATCACAAAGAGCAGTGTTGTCAGGGTTTCAGGGGATTGTTGAGTTATTCTTGGGATCCCAAAGTTGCATTGATGTTCCTTCTGGGTGATATCTAGATATTATTTTCACCAGAGTCTATGGAGGACAAAACGTAGAGAAAATTAGCTACAGAACAAGTGTAAATTAAACTTGGCAAGTGAGGCTTTGTTAATAATAATCAGCTGAGCTTGTCATCTTAAATATATGGCAGAAAAACTAACAGATTGAGGTGGATTATGTTTGGTGAATATAGGCAGTACAAATTTTTTTTTTTTAAAGAACCCAAATTTTTTTCTTAGTGTTCCTATGAGAATGCTTCAGACTGTATTTTTAGATGACAAAGTTAAGTGCAGTTCCCAAATAGAGCTAATTTAAAAGTAAAATATATATCTCCTTAAAAAAGGCTTCACACTATCCTTAAGCTCATTTGGCTAAGAAATTATAGACTGGTCTGAATCACAAAGAGGAGTGTTGTCAGGGTTTCAGGGGATTGTTGAGTTATTCTTGGGATCCCAAAGTTGCACTGATGTTCCTTCTGGGTAATATCTAGATATTATTTTCACCAGAGTCTATGGAGGACAAAACGTAGAGAAAATTAGCTACAGAACAAGTATAAATTAAACTTGGCAAGTGAGGCTCTGTTAATAGTAATCAGCTGAGCTTATCATCTTAAACATATGGCAGAAAAACTAATAGATTGAGGTGGATTATGTTTGGTGAATATAGGCAGTACAAAATTTTTTTTTAAAAGAACCCAAATTTTTTTCTTAGTGTTCCTATGAGAATGCTTCAGACTGTATTTTTAGATGACAAAGTTAAGTGCAGTTCCCAAATAGAGCTAATTTTAAAGTAAAATATATATCTTCTTAAAAAAGGCTTCTAATCCCTAAATTGTTCATATTTTTTCCTCTTCTCATTCTGATAGGAAATCCATAAAGTGTGAATATTGTTCATTGTGTCCCAATAAATAATTCAACTTGAATAGGTATAAATAAACAGCATAGTATTTTGTGTATTCTAATGTAAAGTTCTGTTTTGCAAGCTAAATATATATATTTATCTGATATTTATTGTGTATTCCCTCTTAACTGGGAAAAACATTATAAATTGCTTAATATCTAAATGATACTATTTTTTCCCAAAGAACCATCTTCTTTTTTGCCTTAAATTTAAACAGTCCAAAAGCCTTTAATCATCTAAACACTCATATAATACCTAGTGGGCACAGTTGGGCTTTCCTGGTGGCTCAGCAGTAAGGAATCCACCTGCAGGAGACCCAGGTTCACTCTCTGGGTCGGGAAGATCCCCTTAGTAGGAAACGGCAACCCACTCCGGTATTCTTTTCTGGAGAATCCCATGGACAGAGAAGCCTGGTGGGCTACAGTCCATAGGGTTGCAAAGAGTTGGACACAACTGAAGCAACTTAGCACAGGAACAGTGGAACAGAATAATATGGGGAGAGGGTAAGAGAATGTCATGAAGAGTTAAGATGGAAATTCTGAAAGCCAGTTATCACCGGGTTTATTAATTTCCTTTAATTTCGGCCCTTGTCAGTCTTCTCAGAGGATAAGTATAAGTGGATATGAAAAAAAGAATATTAAACCTCACTTTTCCCATGCCCTAGCTATTTACTTGGTGGAATCTTCATGTTTTATCATTTCACCATGGCTGAATAGAATCACATCTTGCAACGTGTCATTTTTATTTTGAGTTGTCATACAAGGTTCTGAAGTTGACCGACTATTTTTTCAAAGACATGACATTTAACTCACTCCTTGTTGTAAAATCATCATAGCATCAGGTTAATTTAGGCATGATGGTGTTTCTTCAGTGTGTTGTAAAGTCATCCGTTATTTTCTTAATTAGCTTGAAAATAGGGCAAAACATTCATCGAAATTGCTTACATGAGTGAATTCTTTAGCTATTGGGCCAAAAGGAGAGAAAGAGCAGAAAGTTACAATTTAAGTATTGTGAGTGATGTCACCCTGTAGTGAGAGGGACATGGGTAATATAAGTCTGCTCTTCCCTCTTTTTGGCCTCAAATTTGTTTCTCTTCCAGTGTTATTTTACTTTTCATGTAACAAGGATTCCAAGGACAAGCCAACCATGGTGTTCATGCTTGTCCAAGGATTTAGTGATCTGTTCCAATCCTGCAGGAATGACTGATCGTATCACACGTACTCAGAGCGAGTATATCAGACTCCAACCTGTTACTCGCTGAGGTTTGGGAGAGTGATTTTGCTGAACCCTGATTTGAATTTTATGTCCATACTTTAGGTCTGTGATGCCCTAGAGAGATGCTGGCTACTGAAAGTGCTGATTGGGGATTTAAGTAACTTTGTACGAGAGGCTGAACTTTGTGACTGTTCTTTCTTTTTTTTTTTTTTGCTCTTGAAAAAGAGAAAGGAAAAGAAGATTCTCTCTGATGAGCTAATTCTGACCTCATGTTCTCCTCTCACCTCCCCTCCTGTCCTTCCGCTGACTCTGAATCACTGATTGTGCATGTTTGACCCAGTGTTTTCCTCCTGCACCTGTCCTGTTGTCTACCCTCAGATTTACAAGGAGCAGCTTAATACCAGGGTTGTCCTGGTGGCTGTGGAGACCTGGACCGAGAGGGATCACATTGACATCACCACCAACCTCGTGCAGATGCTCCACGAGTTCTCCAAATACCGACAGCGTATCAGGCAGCATGCTGATGCTGTGCATCTCATCTCGTATGTATTCCCAGCCCTTGGCTTGATATTGTTCTCTATCCCTTTATTGTATCAGTTAGGTTATGTATTGGTAAATCTATCCTGAACAAGATTGAGGTTGATTCCTCTGTTACATAAGAAGCACAGAAGTAGGCTGCCCGGTGTTGAAACAGTGGCTCCTCAGTCATGAGATCTACTTTCAGAGCACTTCCCTCCCTTCAGACCTTCCATCTTCAAGGTCAGCTCATGACTCAGGACAGCTGCTGACACTCCAGCCTTCATCACAGGCAATAGGAATGCCAGGCAGGGACAAGTGTGAAAGGACCCTCCCTCCAGCTAACCCGTTGCAGTAGATTTCCTGAAAACGTGCATATCAGTTTCATCAATAAATCATTTACTAGATCTTTATAGCAGTGGCCACAATGAGCTGTAAGAGAGTCTAGAAAAGATAGTCTTTTGAAATGATCTACTGAGTAAAATTGATGTTCCATCACTAAAGAAAGGGGATAGATACCTTGTTTACTTCTGATGAGTTGCTCACTTCCCCACTGGTGGCTAAGCTGTTTTCAGACAGTCCTCTAAGGTTCTGTCCTGGGATCAAACCAACCAAAGTCCTTCTTCCTTCTTTATTCTCTCCTGTTACTCTTTGCTGTTCTCTCAGTGTTTAATCAGCAAGTTACAATTGTCAATATTTTGTATAACTACTAGATGGTCTCTACTAAAAAAAAATCAAGGACTGTGGTCTCTATCTTTGTGCCCTCAATGTCTGTGCCAGTATGTGGTGCTTAGTCAGGTGCTCAATTGATTTTGACTCAACTGAGATTGCTTAACATAACATTAAAGGTATTTATGGTAACACACATTTCGAAGTATTTAAAATGTAGTTTTTGGCTTTCTGAAGGAAGGTTGGTTTGGAGTATTTGGTGTAGGAGAATAGGTGTATTGAAATTGAGTGTTAATGGAATAAAGTTGGAATTAAAGGAATTAATTGGAAAATGAATGGAATAAAATTGAAATATAATGGTCACTACATTGGTTTCCTAATAGCAGTTATTTTTCCTAAGGCGTGTGACATTCCACTATAAGAGAAGCAGCCTGAGTTACTTTGGAGGTGTCTGTTCTCACACAAGGGGAGTTGGTGTGAATGAGGTAAATGTTATCAATTTTCCTAAAGTAGATCTTTATCTGTGCATCTGATTTCTTTCTTCCCTGTGGCCTAGTTTACATCCCTTCTCAGACCTATTTAAAATGATAATGACATTGAGAATATAGTGTAAGTGGTTTGTATTAGTAAATAGAACCCAAAGTGATCTTTAGTGTTAGAAAAGAGCTTTTGTTTCATATCATAATGATAGTCTTTCATATTTGTCAGGCAGATGCAAACCGAAGATTGGCCCAGAAATTTCTTGGCCTCTGTAGATAAGTTTTTATAATCTTGTTAATCCTTCTGTTATGACTTTTTAAAGAATTATCTGCTCTTCTGCCCATGTTAGGTTTAACACACCCTCCAAGTAGAACCAACTAAATCTAAACCTTGGTCAGTTCCTGAATATATAATGGTACTAGATTATCCCAGTAGCCATCATTCAGTGGAGACTTCTCTTGACAGATTTGTAGTAAGTTGAATTTATTCTCGGTTTGGTATGAGGTGAAATGGGGCACAGCCTTTTATGATTTTGTGTTTCCATGTGAAAACATCAAGTTCTGAGAGATGCCACATAGTGAGAGAGGCTTTCTGCTTCTTGGGCCCAGTTGCAAGGAAGAAGTGATAAGGAGCATATGCCGTGTTTTGATGCTGTGAGGCTCTACTTAGGGGACTGAGAAGATATGTGGTAATGATTAAGAAATAATAACTAGCTTTGTGCCCTCTCTCAAATGTTTCCCACACACTTTCAACTCTGAAAAACAGTATGGTCTTCCAATGGCAGTGGCACAAGTATTATCGCAGAGCCTGGCTCAAAACCTTGGAATCCAATGGGAACCTTCTAGCAGAAAGCCAAGTATGTACATTGACCTTCTTACTTTCATGTGCCATTCTGTCTGTATAATGCATGTCCGGTCAAAAAAGAAATATTTTTCATTCCTAAGTCATAATAGCTTAACTGTGGTATATCTCCTTCCCCTAAACAAATGATAGAAATGAGCAATTTAAGGTAACTCTTAATCTGTGTGGGTTGGAGAAATGTCCCTTTCAACGTCTGTAAAATCATCCTTTCTCAGGGCATGATCAGCTCTTTCTCACACTGCAGAATGTTGGGGCGCGTAGAGGTGAATACTCAGCCTATAGGTTCTAATCAGTTGAATACAGACACAAGATGTCAGTGGAGCTCCATCACAAGCTCAGTTGGATCAGAAAAAAAAGATCTGGAATTAAAAGGAGCTTAAACCCTAATGAGATTTATCAACATAGTACCATCATTAAATTAGAGAAGCTTCCCTTGTAGGCAGCCCATCCTGGGGGCAGGTGATAGAGTATAATACTCCTCCACTGAGCTGGCAGGGCCTCGGAGTAGAAACAGCCACAGATCCCATCCTGTAGGAAAACACAGCCAGCGACTACTGGATATCACTTTCCTCATTAACCAGAGGAGAGGCAGATGGAAAGACAAGTCTGAGATTCTAGAGGTGCAGTGTTAAAGGCCCACAGTAATTTGAGGTGGGGGGGAGTGTCCTTGAACATTTTAAATTTCTTTTAAATCAATATAAAATCCAACTTGGATTATATTCCTCTTTATAGCAATACAATAGTAAAATATAGTTTCGATTAATAATACACTTTTGTGGCAGAAGGCCAAAGTGCCTAGGAAGCACACAATGTCATCCTGCGGAAAAAAAGACCGAGGTATTCACTCCAACTAATCTCTTACCTGGGAATTAAGTGGAGATCTACTCTCCTCTGTGAAAATACCAGATGCTGGGAATAAAGGTGTCCTTCTCCACCCGCCTCCCCAGGGAAGAAAAGGATAAATATCTACCTTAACATTATCCTATGCTTTATACCTTTTTGACTACTATCAAATAATTGTCGTTAATGGATAGTGTTATGGAAACTTGAAATAAAATCTATATCCAAGATGTCTTGATTCCCTTTAAGGGCCTATTAGGTCATCACTTTATGGGTACATTAAGTTTGGTGGCATTTAGCAAATCTCCACAAACTTTCATCTGTTAATTTCTTGCTCAGAGTGTTTGCTTTCCCAGAGTATGCATTAAAGGAGATGATTCAGGTTTCACTGGCTGGCATCAATGCCTGAAAATCAGAAGGAGTAGGACCTTGTTATAATCTTGTTTGAAAAACTTGGAACCAAGAAGAGGCCAGTGCTGGGGGCAGCTAAGAGATCTTACTGAGTCATATGATGGAGAAGGGTGAGCAATAGGGTTCATTACTCATACCAGGCATAGTTCCTTCCTTTCTAAAATTCTTTATTCCTTTGTGAATTGTTTGTCCAGATAGATTAGTTCTGAATTTTGAATTTTTAAAAATCCATTTGGAAGTCTTTAAAGATATCTTTGTCTATCACAGAAAAGAGAATAGAAAAAAAAAATGAATGAAAAGGCTAGCCTATCACAATATCCATATGTCCATCTGTGGTATCTGTGTTAAGTTTATGATTGTTATTTAATTTAGATGACCTTACATTTCTATTTTAGATTGCTCTCTTGTACTGTATGTTTTAGCTTAGTGTTCTTCAAGCCTATGGCTGATGCTTGCTTTGACTATGGCAGGCTGAATTCTCTTCCCTAACGTCCAGTTAGCAGGACTTCAGTGAGGACTCACTGAACTGTGCAGTAGAGTTTTGCAGTTCCCAGAGAACACATAGGCTACGATCTCATGTGAGCCCCAGTACCATTCTGGGAGATGGGCACAGAGATACCTTCCCATTCTAGAGGTGGAAGCCCTGAGACCCAAGAAATGCTAAGTCATTTGCCTGTGAAACTCTCATCAGATAGAACTTGGACTGAAACACTAGTTTGTAAAGCCTACCTTGGACCACAGTACTTTCCATTAAACATTAAACTAGAAACTGAATTGAATTCTCTGAGTTACAAAAATGAAGAGAGGCACAATTTTATTTCTTGCAGCTGTTGTCTTAGGAGGCAAGCTATACTTGTTGGAAAGGAAAAAAAATATTAATTTAAATAAAATAGGTTTTGCTGTTGATAATTTTCCTAGGTTAAAGAAGTAGCAATGAATAATTAAGGAGTTAAAGAATGACTAGCTCTCCACCCCCAGCAGCCCCGTAGCAATCCTGCAGGCAAATCAGCTGGGCAAGATAGCATCTGAAGAAAGATCAGGAGGAGTCAGGCAGTCTGCACACAATGGAAAATGATGCAGAATCCAACCTCTTGCCCTCCTGACTCACTGAAATTTCTTCTCATTTTTCCCTTAAAAAACTGTCATGGCCAAGCAGAATCTTCAGAGTTGGTTTGAGACATGAGTCTGCCTTCTCCCCAAGTTTCTGGCTTCCTGATTAAAGCAACCTTTCCTTTCCAACCAAAAAAAAAAAAAAAAAAAAAAANAGAAAGAAATAGGTTTTGTTTGGTGAGACATCATGTTCTTTACCCATTTGACATGGAATTGGTAATAAGGAATTATTTTAAGAGCTGCGATGCAAATTAAAGATGTGACTTTTGTTGTTTCCCTTTTCTTCCATTGCTTTGTATTGTTTCACTGGACTAGAGTGTGACTGCACAGAATCCTGGGGTGGCTGCATCATGGAAGAAACAGGGTAAATTTTCATTGTACCTGCATGTGATATATAACTTTCTGAAATTGGTATCTATTATCAGCTATAGTCTCTCAGGTACTGGTCTGTTAAGCTAAGCCTTAAAATAAATTCAATAATTCATTATCTGATATTTTAAAAAATGAAATAGCAGGTTCACTTTGTACTTTGAGCTTTTTATTTAAAGTTGGTAATAAAAGTAAAATAAAGTAACTGCTTCTACTTCTATTAACCATTAAAAGAAGCACATGATTAAGTGCTTCTAAGTTTAGTGGTTGCATTAATTTTTTAGTACACTTAGGATAAAAGCTGGTTGTCAGTGAAAACCCATTTAGTCAACAATTTATATTTTAAGGAACTCATAAATAGACACGTTTACTGTAATAAAATTGTACTGTATTCCTTATATAATCAATAAGACTTAAAAAAATATTGAGACAGATTTATCATGACTAAATTAGGTAGTCTTCTTCTGATAGGCGTTTGAACATTTCCTCACCTAACTCCTCTTTGGAAACTAGAGCTGTTCGCTCAGGGTTGCTAGTACATCTGTGAATTAAAGCCTAGAAACATAATCTTTCCCAGGGACCCCTGCCCCATTGCAGCCACTGCCCCAAGGCCTCCTAAACTAGAGCCCCCTCCCAATAAATAGAAGTTCCTCACTCGCATCTCTCCCACCTCCTGTGCCCATGTCAGACATCTTCACCACATCACCGTGTCTGGTCCTGCCCCCTCCCTGACTACTTTTACAGAGTCCCTTCCTTATTTCCCCACCAGGAGTCCAGCTCGGGAACACGAGGCATGTGAGCATGAAGGCTTGAAGAGAGACTCAGCCATTATGCCTGCTACTTTAGAGCACGTGTTTCTAGAAATTAGTTCAAACTTGACTGTTAACTTTGATGCTTCCCTTTCTATTGTACCATAGTTTTGCAACATTATTGCTTAGTCAGGCTTTTGTGAGGTAACACCATTCATAATGGTTCTATCAAGAGAGGTCTTCTGAACTTCCAGTTTCTAAACGAATTTTTAGACTGACTCTCCATAGGATATAATAAAACTATTTAAACTTAATATGTATATTCTGATGGGCTTCCCAGGTGGCTCAGTGATAAAGAATCCATCTGTCAAGCAGGAGACATGGGTTCAATCCCTGGGTCAGGAAGATCCCCTGGAGAAGGAAATGGCAATCCATTCCAGTATTCTTGCCTGGGAAATCCCATGGACAGAGGAACCTGGCAGGCTATAGTACATGGGTTGCAAAGAGTCGAACACACTAGCAACTACTCACCACAGCCGCAGCATGTACTGACATAGTGATAGAAATTTGGTTAACTCACAAAGAAGTTATTATATTATATTCCTTTGGTTTTGATATTATATTCTTGCAAAATCATGGATTTTACCAAGTAGTATTTGAAGTTGAGAATCAGGAGCTATTACCTAATTCTAATTCAGAAGGAGCTTACCCTAATTCTGGTTTGGTTGTGTATATATGCATATAAAAACATCCATAGTCTAACACATCTCTTTAGGGTTTCCTTGTTTACCTCAGTTCTGTTGCTAAAGCCTGCAATGTAATATCTTTAATCAATTGACTCACAATTCCCTCCTCCAAAGTAAAATCTTATGGGTTCCTAAGCTCCTTTTATTTAATTCAGAGGCAAAAAAAAAAAAAAAAAAAGAAATGGTGCTTATCTTTACTATGTGCATGCTCAGTTGCTTCAGTTGTGTCCAACTCTGTGTGACCCCGTGGATTATAGCCTGCCAGGCTACTCTGTCCATGTGATTCTCCAGGCAAGAATACTGGAGTGGGTTGCCATGCCCTCCTCCAGGGGATCTTCCTTATCCAGGGATAGAAACTGCATCTCCTGCATTGGCAGGCAGATTCTTTACCACTGAGCCACCTGGTAAAGCCATGTATATACATTTACATAGAGTATATATATATAGTCCATNCAGTGGAAATATGCCAAATGTCAGATACTTGTTTCGGAAAGCAGTTTTCTTTCCGGTCAGATTAATGTTTAGTTATAAAAGGCTTTGTCGTGTTGAAGAGTGAGTCTTGATTCAGTGAATGACAAGACCACAGCTTCACTGTTTGAAAACTCTGGTGTCCCGATGCTAGTTGTCCCTGCTGTCAGTACTCCCTCCAAAAAACAGGCAGACAGTCCTTCCGTTAAAATATCTTGAAGTTCTCATGTTAGGGTCTTTATCCTGCTGCCAAGAGATAATGAGTTAGACTAAGATATATTACTTTAGTAATTTAGTAAGATATATCACTTTAGTAATTACCATTACTCTGACAAAAATTCTGTTTCCCCTTGACATTTTCTGTAGGAGTATAAATAATTTCTTGGCTTTTCTTTCTTTCTTTTTTTTGGGGGGAGGAGAGGAATGTCCATTCTCCCAGATAGAAAGCATTGCTGATATCAACTAGCCAAAAAAAATGACCCAAAGTATTTATGGAGCTTATGCATACACACATACATATTTGTATGTATGTATTTCTTTACTTGAGAAGGTCCATTTGTCAATGGCATTTCGTTACTGTTCATGTAACAATCTCTTACACACAATTCCTTCATTCAAAAGCCCTGAAAATTTGGAAATGTTTTTTGTGAATTTTCAGGAAACATAGTGGACAGTAGAACTTGCCCTGAACTGAAAAGTTTTATTTAACTCTCATAGTGTAAATATTCATAAATCTTACTGCAGAAATGTTAATGTGTTCAATTCTAGGCTGTATACCAGGCTTTTCAGGGCTCTTTTACAGAACATAGTAAATGCATCATACTTTTCTAAAATCCAACAGTGCCAGAATTCTTAAGCTCCCGGGATTTTAGATCTGGGACTGTAGACCTATAGCAGAGTCATTCTAAATGAAGTTCTTAAAGGCAAAAAGACAGGACTGGTGCAAATTAGCAGATGGCATAGACATTCTAACATTGCACATTTCATATTTCCTTTTAAGACACTACATCATAAGTCAAATACAGTCCATTGCTCTGCAAAATACTTAATGCTCTGCAAATTGAGAGAGCAGGGAAATCATGTTAGCTTTAAAAAGAAAAAACAGTGACTGATGTCGATAACTGACAGAATAATTTATTCCCATCCCCATAATTAAGTGATACTGCCAAGTTAAGGCTGATACTCTGATGCCTGACATCTGTATAAAATCTCAGCAAGGCTGCAGAAAAAGAACAGGAATTTTAAAGTGGCCTTGCATCATTAAACTCAGTCGCCTGCCTTTCATGGCATTGATCTCAATGCAACAGAAATTTGAAAGCTTCAGAGCGTTTAAAACGGGTGCAGTGAGTAATAATGAATTAATGTGAGCTGCTGGCATTTCTGAATTGCAAAGTACATGGCTAATTTTACCTGTCGTACAGCTCACCAGCTAATTATAAGCATCACGCCTGAGGAGACAACACTGAGTTGTTTGGAAATACTAAGAGCTCTAGTGTGTATATAAGGATCCATCATTAGCTTTCTGAGATTGCCTGAGAGTAGAAAGGAAATTATTCCAATAACGTGGAAACTAAATAAAAAAGTACCTATATGTCTTCAATTTTAGCAGTTAGTGAATTTGGAATTCTGTCTTTTTAAATGATATATTGGAATAATTTTTTAAAAGCCCCTGTGGATTACCGTGGAATGGTTTATATGCATGTATGAAAGAACGGACTTTTTTCCAAGTGTTATAGTCAGTGGATGTATATATATATATGCATGAGGATCCCCTGGAGAAGGAAGTGGCAACCCACTCCAATATTCTTGCCTGGAGAATTCCATGGACAAGGAGCCTGGTGGGCTATAGTCCACAGGGTCACGAAGAGTTGGACTTGACTGAGCGACTAACCCACATGAAAGAACTGACTTTTTCCCAAGTGTTATAGTCAATTTGTATATATATATATGCGCATGTTTTATGTGTTATTTTCACATTATCTACGGACATCGTTTCTGTTCTCTGGGAACCTTCTCAGCTGTCATGTCTGCCATCTGATTTGTGACAGTGACCTGTCTTCGGATGGAAGAAGAGTCCTAAGAATGAAATCTAGCAGTGGTTTACATGGGAGGCCTGATACAAAGAGCTATCATGTTCCAGTCTGCCTTTCTCTTTTCTCCTCTCTGCTGATCAGAATGTCACAGAAATGAGGACTGTTGATTTTAGTAGTTGGATTTCCCCATGGGGAAGCCCCACCCAAGTATCCTGGAAACCTTGCTTGCTTCTTATAGCAGCGTTCCTCCTGGAAGCAGAAGGAAGATCAGGTCTCCCTTGGCTGGACTCAGGGGGAGGCAGTCCTTCCTTGGGTGTGTGCTGCCCTCTCTCAGATACATAACTCTGAACATTTGGATTGGAATTCCCTGTTCCAGTCTTCGCCTGAGTGTAGTGGACAACACAGAAAAATCTTGCCCCTGGTAATGGGAAATGGAAATGTTTCTCATAAATAATCAGCTGCCTCAACAACTGTACTGTAATATAGTTTATTTGGCAATCAAGTTCATTGCATTAGGAGGGTGGATTATTCTAGAAATTTGACTCTTCCATCACTCCAGGAATGATTGAGAAATGTCTATAATCTGTGCATATGCCTACATGTTTGCCTAATATGGTTCAGATGCTACAGTCTTCTTTTCGGTGACAATGATGGGCATGGATTTCCAGCAACACTTTTCCCTAAGTTTATTTGCATTTACTTGGTGGCATATATCACCTTTAGCTGTCACTGAAGCATTTTTATCTTTTTGACAGTTTTTGTATCTTCTCAGCTGTCTGGATATAAGTCAGCAAATTAGGTACCTGTGAGTCTTATTAGAGATGCATTTTAACTCCATTAGCAAAAATGAAAAGTGATCTATTCATCTTGACAGCTTATTTCTATAAAAAGTAACTCTAATGGTAGAGGTCATCTCTGGAACCCACCACCAGAGAATCCTCCAAGAGATATTACCTCCATTTAAAATATGTTTTTTAGAAGTGTTATAAATAAATGAACAGTGTTTCCCACACAGATGTATTTGTAAGATGCCATAACAATAGGTCATAGAGGAATATCTATGGTTATAGGGTGTGTATGTAGCCTAATTGGAAAATTGATTTTCTGTGATAAATTGAAATGTTTTCCCTTTACCTTTCTAACCTCTTTCAGCTATTTGAACCCACAGAATGTGGAAATGGATACGTAGAAGCTGGGGAGGAGTGTGATTGTGGTATCCATGTGGTAAGTATAAGAAATCTTTGCTACTTTCAGCACATCTTCTACCCAGAGCAAACAGTAATAGCATTAGTGAGAAGTCTACCTCATCATTCACTGTGGCCTCACTGCCTTTATTTCTGAACTCTCTCATCAATGCTTAATCCTAGCTCAGATATGTTAGAATTAATCATGTCCTTATGGCTCTGTCTGAAGAAACCTAATATATTCTTCTAATCAAACTCATATCTCTTAAAAATTCATAGCCCATGTTCCTCTCAGACAAGCTGTACCAAGTCATGACAATTCTTTCTGTGTTGTGTAATATTTTTGTCTTTGTAAAGCTAGATTGAGTATTAAAATTATAGTAGGGCTAACCGAGGGTAGGATGCCTGCTAAAAAATAAGCTTACTCTTTGGTAGAGATGTCCTTTCTTAGAAGATCATACTTTACTGAGAAGTATAGCAGGAAGGAATCTACCACTAAAATGATTAATTCTTTCCTAAAATATTTGCTTACCATTATATATATCTCCTCATGTGAGTCATGCATGTCACACGTGGAGAAAATGCAGAATGACCAGCGGGTGGGTTTCCCGCTTACTCACGTGAAGTGCTTTCTCTAGGAGTGCTATGGACTGTGTTGTAAGAAGTGCTCTCTCTCCAATGGGGCTCACTGCAGCGACGGGCCTTGCTGCAATAGTACCTCGTGTCTGGTGAGTTCTCTGACAGTTTCGTCTCTCTTATCGATGACGTATTAGCCAACTATTGCAATGTGTACCTTGAGTATTTATACAGCTTCTCACACTTTTGTTGATGGACACTGTGTGTTAGCCCAGCAATTTACAGAATCAATAAATCTAGCCAAATTCTGTGAATTACTACAATTATCTTTATTATAATTCACTACCAACAAACCCTTGGACAGCAAGGAGATCAAGCTAGTCAATCTTGAGGGAAATCAACCCTGACTACTTACTTGTTGAAAGGACTAATGCTGACGTTGAAACTCCAGTATTTTGGTCATCTGATGCGAACAGCTGACTCATTGGAAACGTCCCCGATGCTGGGAAAGATTGAAGGCAGAAGGAGAAGAGGGTGTCAGAGGATGAGATGGCTGGATGGCATCACTGATGCAATGGACATGAGGCTTGGGCAAACTTCGGGAGATGGTGAGGGACAGAGAGGCCTGGTGTGCTGCAGTCCATATGGTGGCAAAGAGTTGGACACGACCGGGTGACTGAACAACAACCAATAATCCTATTCTCCACCACCTCCCTAAGAAAGTATGCCTGTGATCCTTCCAGAATAAACACTGGCAATTGCCCTGCTAACATGGGTGAAAACCAAATTAAATGGTTGAATAGAAGAGGGACAGTTTCTGTGGTGTTTTTCATAACATGTCCCACTTACAAACTTTTTCTTGAAAACCCATCCTAATTTATTTTGGAGCCTGAGCATAAAACTTAGTCCTTATATTTTCACATTTGATTTTTAAAATCCCTTAGAAAGGCAAATGAGCCAGACAAGGAAGTAATATATGTATGAAAGTTTATATGTGTATATGCACACCTTTTGTTTCTGTGGAAATATTACTTCTATCTTTGGAAAACTGTGGTTAATTTTTAAAAAGTCATTTTTAAAATCTTTCTTTTTCTCATTCTATAAAACTCTTAATAGTTTTTAAAACCAGAAAATAATATGATTTAACTTTATTCAATACCAAAGGAGTATTAGGCTTATGGTACTCTAGAAGATTCCAGCTTAGATTTTTTTTGCCTTATGTCCCCAAGCAGATTATAAATTGCTTGAAAATGATGGACTCTTTCCTTCATCTTATACCAGCCCCTCTCCTAGTCAAACAAAATGCCTTGTATTCAGCAGTCATTCACTGGCATCACTCAAGGGAATTCATATGAATTAATTGAAATCTGATTGTATATATTTAGCTAAAGCAAGACTAATATCCAAGCTAATAGATAAATTAGTGCAGATTGAGTGTGTGTATCAGCCTTCAGAGAGGTCCTAAATGTTTATATTTATATTTTAGTATTTAGTTCTTTGTCTTAAGCCACACCAGTGTTTCTTTTTTACATAATTGCCATCACAGTGTTTTCCAAACATAATACTCTGACATAGCAGATTTTGAAATCTGAACATTTAATGCCTTGGTTAATGATTCATATTTACTACAGAGAGTGATTTTTGGGTATTATCTCTATTCTGAAACTACCTTGATGATTCATAAAAAGAGTTTGGCAGTGGTAATGAAAGGATGTTATGATTTCTGGTGAATACAAGAATACTAACTCTAAATATTAATATTGGTTCCTAATGTTGAGTTTTGATTTGCAGTTTCAGCCACGAGGATATGAATGTCGGGATGCTGTGAATGGATGTGATATTACCGAATATTGTACTGGAGACTCTGGCCAGGTATGGCAAACTGAATTTTAGGTAATCTTATTTTCAAATACGTATTATAATGCTTTCAATTTGAATTCCATGTGTGAATATGATTCGATTCTTTTGGGGTTTTTGGTTTTGTTTTGTTCTGTTTTCTAGTAGTTTCTAGCTCCCACTGTGCTTTTATTTTAGGAATATTTATTGGGCCTAAAAAATCTGTTTTCTTCCAAATTTCCCCTTTATAATTTCCCTTATTATTGCTTATATCCAATTAATTGGTATAGGTGTATGTATCAGCAATGTTCTGGTCCCCACATCTAAAACAGTAGGCTCACACTGATAAAGCACTAATGGTACTATTTTCAAGCAATTTTAAGCCACAAAACCCTGTCTTTTAGCAAAATTTTGGACAGAAGTTCAGTGTATAAATCTGAAAGTGTAGCACTGCTGTAGTTGAAGTGGGATTGGGGGGCAGAAGTCCTGTCTGTCACCATCTCTCTCCATTTATGTAGGAAGCACTGGCTTCATGGCCCACACACTTGGCATGATCTTCATGTTAAAATTATTTCATTATCATTAAGATTGCCTTTTGGCATTCCTTCTTTACTTTTTATGTTTTTAAACATTTACATCGTGTTGTTTTAAGTCTTTGTCATTCAAATGAATATCTGTGGAGCCCCTGCTGTGTTTCAAGCACTGCTTTGAATGCCAGGCTATGGGAGGAATCCAAATAGGCAACTCCTTGCTCTTCCCGGGCTTGCATTCTGCTGGGTTAGAAAGGCTAATAAATTCATGAAACCCAGTGAGTACAGAAGCCTGGCTTCTTCAAGAGATGGAATGGAAGCAGGAATAGCTGGGAAATAGTGGAAATGATTCAGGGAAGAAGTCAGGAGTCAGGCGTAGGGGCTTGGTAAGAATTTTTGACTTCATTTTACCTTNAATGCGCTCCAGTTTCATCCATCTCACTAGAACTGATTCATATGAATTCTTTTTAATGGCTGAGCAATATTCCATTGTGTATATGTACCATAGCTTTCTTATCCAATCATCTGCTGATGGGCATCTAGGTTGCTTCCATGTCCTGGCTATTATAAATAGTGCTGCAATGAACATTGGGGTACACGGGTCCTCTATGCACTTTAAAGAGTGTTTCTTATTCAGAGTTAGCAACTTAGGGTAAGTTTCTCAAGAGCAGAATTACCTATTGCCGGGTATTGTGATTTACATGGGGTTCCTGATAGAGTATGGCTGGAAACTAAAATATCATTTTTGTTATTACAAAGAGCCAAGTTGAAAGTCCTAGCTCAGTGTGAGCGCTAAATGGGCCTCTTTACAGATCCCAGATTTAGGCTGTAGTAACAGATTATTGACATAACTGGGCCTGGAATGACCTCTCCTTGCAAAGGTGGCCCTTGTATGCAGTGGAGGAGCAGTAGAGAGAGGATGAATCATGTGAGTAGGCAGGAGAAGATGGCAGAACTGAGCCAGAATGCTGAGTTATTCTTCTGAAGTTTATCCATCAACCAGTCAGTTGCTCTACCTGCCTGGAGAAGTGAGCACAGGAGCAGAGAGTAACTGGAGGTACACGGAGTTCTTCTCCCTGGAAGGAAACATGAGGAGAGGAAAGCAAAATTTCCTAATTAACCTTTCTGAAAAGTTTTGATATATACCATCTAAAGCTTGATTCAAATGGATATAGTACAAAGCTTATGGTACAGCGAACTGTATGGCTATCCTTTTGTGATTTTTGTGTATATCTGTCCTTACATATAAATAGATCTTTACAATTTTTAAATAATATAGTGGCAGTATATAAGAACTGTGGATTCTGTGATTTATGACAAGTATATTGACATTTCTGATACACTATTTCACTGAGTTATATTTTTAGTTTTGTAGAATGAGACCCATTATATATGGTTTTGGTTTTGTGTGTTCAATTCTTTTAAAAGCATCAGTTCAGTTCAGCGCTCAGTCATGTCCGACTCTGTGACCCCACGGACTGCAGCACGCCAGGCCTCCCTGTCCATCACCAACTCCTTGAGTTTACTCTAACTCATGTCCATTGAGTCAGTGATGCCATCCAACTGTCTCATCCTCTGTCATCCCCTTCTCCTCCCACCTTCAATCTTTCCCAGCATCAGGGTCTTTCCAAATGAGTCAGTTCTTCGCATCAGGTGGCCAAAGTATAAAAATAGAGTTTTTCCATTTCAACCTTTAACTCCTGAATTGTCATAGGCTTTACTGGAAATAAAGTTTTTATAATAAGGGTTCTAATTCAATCTAATATTTTATTGATTAAATTTTTAAAATATTCTTTTAATTTCATGTCCCAAGGTGAAAATTGTACTGTTAAATTCTCAGTTCCTTTAGTAACAATTCCCTTCTATGACCAGAAGGAACCTAAACTAGATAAGTGGAAGAGAGGGACTTAAACACCACCACACCCTTGCCCCCAACACACAGTAATTCTTCTGTTTTGAAAGAAGCAGGAAACTTTGAATTTAATTGATACTAATAATTAAAATGGGATGTCTCAGAATCTCTGCATCTCTGAAAATCAGTACTTTTGGTGACATTATGTATTTATTGCTTTTATTTCACAGTATATTTCTGCTTAGTTTTTATATTAGCATTTACTGATGCTTCTGAGCTGCTTTTTAAATTCACAGTTTCAAAGAGAATAAATAAGATGTGGAACTGAGAGACATTCTGAGCAAACAATCTGGATGATCTAATAAAGATATTTTTGAAAGATATGTGAAATATATTTTGTTAAACACTATGAAATATGTCATCAAAATGGGAGTATAACACAATTTAAAATAAGCACATTTAAAGGCTGTTGCACTGTGGAAGCCAGCCTCAGTTGGACCTTACTGTACAGTGTAAAAATGGCATTTATTTATCAGTATTATTTTGTATATATTTTTATTTTTGGCTGTGTCTCTAATTGAGGCACACAGGCGTAGTTGCCCTGTGGCATGTGGGATCTTAGTTCCAAGACCAGGGATTGAACCCATGTCCCCTGCACTGGAAGTCAGATTCTTAACCACTGAACCACCAGGGAAGTCCCTCAAATGGCATTTAGAGACCGAATCCAGAGCTCTGCTCACAAGCAGAATAAAGTACACAGATTTATGGTTCTTCTATTTTAAATGTCTCCAGAGAACAGTAGACATTTCATAATTTCCTTTGTTAAGCATTTCAGTGTTAAACAACTGGCTTTTGTTAGCCTAGACTGAAAATAGATGAGAAATCTTCTCCCATGCAGTTATGACATTTTATGAGAGCTTTTTAAATTTTATCAAATCCTACTAGTTTTCTCCTATTGAAACATCACAAAAGTCAAATATGACAAGTTAAGTTTAGACCCTGATGTGTGTATTCAGCGAACAACATTTCTTTTGCATTTTGGTTCAGTGTGGTTGCATTCATCTTGGAGTAAGTGAATAATTACTGTTAGTTGATTAATAAGATAATGATGGTGTTTTGAGTGGATTTGGATGAATGAAAGAGACCATAGGGAATCTCTGTTTTTGTGCAGTTGGTCCAGTAAGCCAAGTTCTCATGCTGATAATTACATCTTTTGAATAGTTACCATCAGGTTGAATGAAAACTGGTATGAAAATTGGTTGTTCATAGAAAGCTGTAGAACCAAAGCCTTTAATCTCAATGTATTCCTTGGTAAGTTACTGCTTCTTAGCAATTCTAAATTAGTTCTGTTATCTTTCTGTTGTGACCTTGATAAACAGCTTGATACTGCAGAATAAAATAATTGTATCTGTGCGGGTCATTTGTTTATTTTCTCAGTCAGTCACTAGTCATTGAGTACCTTCTCAATAATAATTGAGCCCAGCTTTGTTCTAGGTGCCAGGGAGGGAAAAAGATGGAAAATCCCTGCCTGCATGGAGCTTGCATTAGGATGGGAGCAGTAGACAAACTGCATTAGGAGGTGGGCAGTAAACAAAGCCTTTGACTGTGTGAATCACAACAAACTGTGGAAAATTCTTCAAGAGATGAGAATACCAGACCACCTGACCTGCCTCCTGAGAAATCTGCATCCAGGTCAAGAAGCAACAGTTAGAACTGGACATGGAACAACAGACTGGTTCCAAATCGGGAAAGGAGTACGTCAAGGCTGTATATTGTCACCCTGCTTATTTAACTTGTATGCAGAGTACATCATGTGGAATGCTGGGCTAGATGAAGCACAAGCTGGAATCAAGCTTGTCGGAAGACACACATTAACACTATGTGTTAATGATTCGTGTCACTATTGATTCGTGTCAATGTATGGTAAAAACCACCACTGTATTGTAAAGTAATTAGCCTCCAATTAAAATTAATTAATTTAAAAAAAAATTGCTGGGAGAAACATCAATAACCTCAGATATGCAGATACTACCCTTATGGCAGAAAGCGAAGAAGAACTAAAGAGCCTCTTGATAGAAGTGAAAGAGGAGAGTGAAAAAGTTGGCTTAAAACTCAACGTTCAGAAAACTAAGATCATGGCATCTGGTCCCATCACTTGATGACAAATAGATAGGGAAACAATGGAAACAGTGAGAGACTTTATTTTCTTGGGCTCCAAAATGACTGCAAATAGTGACTGCAGCCATGAAATTAAAAGATGCTTGCTCCTTGGAAGAAAAGTTATGACCAACCTAGACAGTGTATTAAAAAGCAGAGACATTACTTTACCAACCAACTTCCATCTAGTCAAAGCTATGGTTTTTCCGGAAGTCATGTATGGATGTCAGATTTGAACTATAAAGAAAGCTGAGTGCCAAAGAATTGATGCTTTTGAACTGTGGTGTTGGAGAAGACTCTTGAGAGTCCCTTGGACTTCAGGGAGATCAAACCAGTCCATCCTAAAGGAAATCAGTCCTGAATATTCATTGGAAGGACTGATGCTGAAGTTGAAACTCCAATACTTTGGCTACCTGATACAAAGAACTGACTCATTGGAAAAGACCCTGTTGCTGGGAAAGATTGAAGGCAGGAGGAGAAGGGGATGACAGAGGATGAAATGGTTGGATGGCATCACTGACTCAATGGGCGTGAGTTTGAGCAAGCTCTGGGAGTTGGTGATGGACAGGGAAGCCTGCCTGGTGTGCTGTGGTTCATGGGGTTGTGAAGAGTCAGATACAACTGAGCAACTGAACTGACTGAGTAGACAAACAGATACATGAAAGTTTGATGATAAGTAAAACAGAGAATGGGGAACAGACGGTGCTCACATGGGGGAGGAGGTTACGGTTTTGGAGGACATGGTTAAAGAAGGCTTCTCTGAGATGCTGATGTTCAGGCAAAGTGCTAAAAAAAATTGAGAGAACAAGCTGGGCAGAAATCTGCGGGAAAGCTTGGAGGAAGAGCAAGAACAGAGACCATGGGTTGACAGCATGGTTGGTATATTCACGTGAGGTCAGGTATGGATGAGGGCAGGGTCAGTATAGGAGCAGATCATGAATTTGGAAGACCGGTGAGTAGACTGAGAAGCCATTAGCAGAAGAGCAACATGATGTGGTTTAGGTTTTTAAAGGGACACTCTGGTAACTCTGTCACCTATAAGGATACTAGAGGGGATGAAGGGGAATCAGTTGGAGGTGTTGCATCATCAGGTGAGAGATAGTGTTGGGTTTGACCAGCTGTTAGCGGTGGAGATGGAGGGAAGTGGTCAGATTGTAATTATATTTGAAGGTATTGCTACCGGGTATTGTCAGTGGACTAGAAAGTGTGAGTAAAAGAGAGGAACACAGGTTGACTCCCTGGTTCGGAGCCTGGGCAGCTGGGAGAGTGGGACTGTCGTTTACTGAGAAGGTGAAAATCAAGGGAGGACCTCACAGGGATTCCTCTGTTTCTTTTGTGTATATGTATATATATATATATATTTATTCCTTTGTTTCTTATTCACTTACTGCACCTGTATTCCCCCCCACCTTTTAATATTTGTTTTGAATGCTGTAGCAGAGCCTTTGACTTGAACTCCTTTTTTTTAGCTCTTAAATGTGATAAATAAGATGAAGAGAGAGTAAACATGTGAATTATTCAGGATAATGTTAGGGAAAATTGAAATGTACTTAAAAAAAAATTGATAAATAGACCTGGAAAAAGAAAGAACTATCACATCACAGTTGTTTCAATAACTATAGTTTGAGAGGTCAGAAATGTAATGGAGATACAGCACTTTTATTGAAGGGCTGGGTATTTCTTCTTTTTCAGTAGTGTGGCATGGAGGTGAGTGTCATGGGTGTCACATGCAGATCTGACATTTTCACATAACTGAACAAGGCCTTATAAATTAGTTCCTGAACGTTACTAATGATGACTGAACGAAGTCTTGTAAATTAGTTCCTGAACGTATCTACTCCTGTGTAACAAGCTGATTTGTTCCCTTTGTTGACCATTTTAATTCCTTCTACTTTGAACTTTGTAGGCAAGTGAACGTAAATTATTCTAGTGCATCTCATGGAAAACATAAGAAGCACCCGCTGCTTTGATTGATTGATTCATTTTTACCAATGACTGGAGAATAAATTTGGATTAGCTATTTAAGGAGTTACTCATGTTTTCCTAATTTTAAGTTGTATTTTTTTACATTTATTTCAAACTTTACTGATGTGATCTGTAGCATACAAATAGTAATAAAATCATCCTTAAATTTTTTTGCATTTTAATGTATTGTCAAATAAGCTGAAAGTACTTCACATATTGAATGCTAACTAAAAATATATTTTTCAGTGCCCACCAAATCTTCATAAGCAAGATGGATATGCTTGCAATCAAAATCAGGTATGCTTGGCCATAGGATTTTTAACTGGGATTTTATGAAAGGCTCAGTTTTCAGGTTTTTTTTTTTTGGATGAATGTAATTTTGATGGCAAATTGCAACTCAAACAACAGGAAATTATTGCATTGGTCTTCTAATTCAGAGTTGTTTCACATCATATAAAATACTAAGTATATTTATCTCTGGGTGCAAACTGTCCAGATTGAGAGTGTGGGAAAAAAAAATAATGGCTGAAGAATTAGAGATCCAATTTATGGAGTTGTAACTATCTTTAATCATTTCAGCCTATTATGGAAAAATATGGTAATATATTGTAATGCTTTTTTTTTTCCTGAAGCTATGTTATGACCTAAGCATTCACATACAAAAAAACCTAAAAATCATTTTGGTGTCACTCAAAGAAATGTACCCATTTTTGTCTTCCATAAAGTTTAAAATTTTAGATGATTAGTTGGACTTGAAGAGCTGTACAGTGAGGTCTGTTCTGTGTTTTAGATTTTAATTTTCATTCTTTTGTGTCTCTTAAGATGTTTGTGAGTTTTATTTTCATTGTGAAAATACTAGGGTACCCCAAAAACCCAACTTTGTCCAAAACAATGATAAGGAGACCTTGCAGTGAGAATCTGGGGGGAAATAGGACCAGCTCCTTGGACTTACAACATGCATTCTGTCCTCAGGGCCGCTGCTACAACGGGGAGTGCAAGACCCGGGACAACCAGTGTCAGTACATCTGGGGAACAAGTAGGTCATGCTTCCTGCTTGGTGATCACACTCAGGTTTCTTTTAATATTCTTTGCTGCCAGTCTTGCTGAAAGAGAGATACAGCTTGGGCGTGATTAAAAAAAAAAAACAGCTAGAAAAGGCTGAAGAGAATGGTGAATCATAGTCACAGAGCCACAGCAAACAACTGCCGACGTTGAAGACTTGTCGTCAGAGCCGAACAGCGCTATTCGGTGATTGTGGCTGTGACAGAACGGATGTTACACCCACTCAGACTGGGTTGAGTGCAGTGGTCATGCTCATTATGAATCCACTTCGGTAATTTTGTTTATACCTTGGATTTAACATTCACCCCTTCAAGTTAGCTTTCCATTCTTTTATCCTAGGAAAGTACCAGACTCTTTTTTTAAATTCTGTAATTGACTATCTGAGCTCAAAGTGAAACACAAGTACTTCCTGATATACAGACAGAGATTTGGGTACATGGTCATTTTCTTAGTATGTTCCCTACATGTCAGTACACATATCCTCTTCCTGACATTTTTATTGCCTTGCCAGTGAATTTCAGTTAATGAGGGCCAGACTGGAAGAGAGAGAAGTGGTTCTGTCTTGCTGGCAAAGACTGGGTCACCTACCAGGAAAAGAAGTCACCCAAAGGGGACTAGGACTCATGCACAAGTGATTTTAGTATTTGGTAAATATCATTTAACTGAAAGATTTAGTTTCAGTGGTTCAGTTTTGACACGGAAAGATAATAGAGGCATATTTGTCTTTCAAAAAAGTTGAAATATCAAAATCCATGTGCCAACAAAATTTCAGTGAGATCAGATTTTATAATGCTTCCTGATATTAATAGAAAGCAGGGTTAAGAATGTTTATTAGTTTTTTTGGTGTCACTTCACTAATTCCTGCTGATGATTAATCCTACCTCCCATCCTCAAACCCACCAACAGGAACTGGGAATAAATTTGTCTCGCATGTTAAAAAGAATGGTGTGTTTGATCTGTCCTGCCTTGGCTTGCAAGAGCCATGGGTGAAATTTTCAGGAATTTTAGAAGCTGACTGGCATCACATTCTTAGTTTAAAATTAGCCAGGTATTACACTGTGGAAATTTACACTATAGAAATGGGCAAGCGCTACAAATTAGGAATTTCTTCCTTTTTCTGGAGCAACAGTTATTAAAATTTACTGGCACAGAGCTGGTTATGGATAACAAAAAGAACTAAAAGTAATTCTCTTTTCTTGCTCATCTCCAAAAGAGGCTTCAGGGTCTGACAAATTCTGTTATGAAAAGCTGAATACAGAAGGCACGGAGAAGGGTAACTGTGGGAAGGATGGAGACCGATGGATCCAGTGCAGCAAACAGTGAGTGGTCACCTCTGGAGCATCATGGGTGGACTTGGAAGCCCTGGTCCAAATGTGAAATGAGCACAAAATAAATGTCACTGATTTTTTAAAATAAATTGACTACTTAAAATTTTAAAAAGTATGAATTTAAAAGATCATATATCTACAAGCAAATGACTATGAACTAAACTGTTTCTGTGGCACAGACACACCATTTCTGTAGAATTCAGGAAAGTTCTCACGTGCTGTATTTTACTTGAAGCTTGTTTGGAAGAGATATTTTGCTAAGGTATTTTAAATTAATAGTGGGTTTTGGTTTTCTACTTTTGCTTTAAAAAAGCCTACGAATATACTAGTATAAGGAATTCTGTAAGCAAAAGATGTAGACTGTCTATATTTTGGGGGCCATTTAAAATGAAATAACATACATTTGATTATTTCTCAAATGTAACATGATTTGATTTGATTAAATATCTAATATCTGTATTAAAGTTTTATTTTCCCTTCTAAAAAGTATCTGAAAGTGACAGTCAGTCAGTCATGGCCCACTCTTTGCGACCCCATGGACTATACAGTCCATGAAATTCTCCAGGCCAGAATACTGGAGTCGGTAGCCTTTCCCTTCTCCAGGGGATCTTCCCAACCCAGGAATCAAACTGGGGTCTCCTGCATTGCAGACAGATTCTTTACCAACTAACTGAACTTTGAGGGCAGCCAAAAAAGTATCTAGTCAGTGCCTATTGAGGATTCTTTACTCAGGAAATGAGATGCCTTCAGAGCACATTGGTAATATTTTCCCTTGAATTGTTGAGGAAAGTTAAAATTGCAATTTAATAGTTTTTTAAGGTTAACTCAATGATTTGGATCTCTGGGATCATTATGTGATAGACCAGAGCTCCCCCATTCTCCTTCCGTAACAATGGGGATTCTTCTCCCATTGTGAAGCACAGCGAGGATTTAAGAGAAGTTTTATTTATCTAATTAATGGTCTCTAATGTTGTACTTTTTGAAACTTGGCAGTTGTTTGTAATCTTTGATGGTGGATGAGGCCTTAGGAAGCAAAAAGTCTTTGACTTCTTTAAAATTAAACCAAAATAACAGAACAGAGCTTCCCATCTGATGTCTCGTGAGTGAGTTACAGAAGTTTTGAGATGTTCAGTCTTTGAGGTTCCAGGAAGGAAGTGGAGTCTACACTAGTCAGAACCTATGGGGTTGAATGCCTCTGGCTTCATTCATTAAGTCAATGTCACAGACAAACCTGATCATTTCTCTGTGCCTCTGTGACTTCAGAAAGTTGGGAGGCATTGCTTTAGATCTTTGTAGAAGACAGCTTTCTAATATCTGTCAATAGAATATCCAACCACCAGTGAGTTAAGGAAAATAAATGTATTTTTTTTACTTGAAAAAATTGAGAAATATAGAAACAGAAAAGTGATTAATATACAAATATACATTTTGCCAAATAAATGCAAAGTGAACTTTCATGTAACCCTTCTATGAATCAAGAAATAGTGCATTCCAGGATTTATTCTTCACCCTCACAGCCCCTGTCTCTCTCCTGAAGGTACTGTTATCCTCAATTTTGTGGCAGTTGCTTTCTTATTTTTCTTTAGAGATATACTGCTCAAGTTTTCAGCCCTAAACAGTTTACTTTGCCTAAAATTTTGGTAGCTTTATATAAAAGGAATCATGTTTCATGTATTATTTTGTATTTTGCTTCTTAAGTTCATTATTTTGAGAGTTTTCCATGGTGTGTGTAGCTGTAGATTCGTATTTATTATTCTTTTATTTCATTTTCATTCATATCTATAGGTATACACCTTCTCCATTTTGTGTTGACAGACATTTAGATTGTTTCCATGTTTTGGCTATTAGTAAGCATGCTACTGTGAACATTCTGGTACATGTAGCTTAGTTCTCATTTGCACATATTTTTCTAAGGCCATTCCTGGAAGAAAAATTGCTAAGTCACAGGGGAGGCATATTCTCAGTGTCACTAGATGGTATGACACTGTTTTCTAAAATGGTTGTGCTAGTAAATGCTACCGCTGATAATTTGTATAAGAGAATTTTGTTGCACTGTACTGTGTTCTCACCAACACTTGGTGTCATCAGACATTCTACTTTTATGTATTCTGCTGGGTGTGAATTGCTTTATTATTGTGGCTTTAATTTGCATTTATGAATGGAATAGTACATTTTCATGCATTTACTGGACATGGATTGTATGTGTGTGATACACCACTTCAATTTGCACATTTTTTAAAGAGTTCATTGTTTACTTAACAAATACCCTGGAGATAGGTGTCCCCATGGTGAGTGAGTCATTTAACAATGTCACCAAGGACCCAGATGATTTCTGCCTCTCTTCTCTGTAATACTTTAGCATGTTCACTTTATATTTTTACATGTGAATTTACGATTGCAAGGTGAATGCCAAAGTTCTGCATTCAAAAGCAGGAAGCAGGGGTAGCAACCAAAGACCGTCTCCCTGTCAGGCTCTAAAAGCCCGTCCAGAGCATAAAATTCTCCCCAGCAGCTCCCTATCCGGCTTTTCTTCACATCTCAACATTCCAGGGGCCACTCTTAGCTTTAGGAGGACAGGAAGGAGGCATGGCTAAGTGGCTGTAGAGAATGGGGGTGCCATGATAGGTTCTGACACCAGTCATGAGCCGTCTCAGAGCTGGTTGCTTTGCTACCTCGCACAAGCTTTGATCCTTTTAGGAAGGAGGGGGCGGTTTTCACCAACCAAAAGTATCTAAATAAATGTTTTCATTTAGAGGGAAAGGGAATATTTCCCGTTTTTAAGTATTTGTGGACCAAATAATTTTGATTTTTTCAGTTTGATTCCTCCTGTCTTGTTCTTTTTTGTTTAATATGTTCAGCGATGTGTTCTGTGGATTTTTGCTCTGCACCAACCTTACTCGAGCACCACGTATTGGTCAACTTCAGGGTGAGATCATCCCAACCTCCTTCTACCACCAAGGCCGGGTGATTGACTGCAGGTAACATAGCAAATGTTGGCAAGCCTAAAGAATCATGAGAATTACAAATTTAGAAAGAAATCAGCGGAAACATTTCTATTTTTCATGAGAGAAATAACAACTTAGATTTTATCATCACTTTGTGTATTGAAAGGCATTTAAAAAACAAAGTTATATATCAGTTTGCACATTGTATTTGCTTAAAGATTATGCCAGTTATTAGTAGGGAGACACTCTTTGTAATTATAATTTTAAAAGTAGAATTTTATGATATTCATTTTAAATATGATTAAAGTTTTGAGCATTGAAATATGCTCAAATATGTTTGAGCATTATATGTTTTATTTTTTTGTGACAAAAAAGAATTGAAGCTATACTCTATGTGCTTGGTTTAGGAGGTTAATTGAAACCTAATCACATATAGAAAGTATGTGCTTGATTTAGAAGATTAATTGAAACCTAATCACATATACAAAGTATAGTGAAGTGAAACTGAAAGCTGCTCACTCGTGTCCACCTCTTTGGGGTCGCACCAGGCTCCTCTGTCTATGGAATTCTCTAGGCAAGAACAGTAGAGTGGGTAGCAATTCCCTTCTCCAGGGGATCTTCCCAACTGAGGGATCAAACCCAGGTCTCTCACATTGCATGTGGATTCTTTACCATCTGAGCTACCAGGAAAGCCCATAGAAAGTATATACTAAAATATTTATAGCTCTAGTCAGTCATTTCATATCCAATTATCTGTGAGTACAAGGCACAGAGATACAAGACTTATTTTTTTTTAACACTGGGAGTCATATTATATTTTAAATAATATCGTTCCCATTAAAGGAGTTGTAATTCTAGGATGCTATGCTCTCATTCAAATGATAACTTCCATTGCCTAAAACACTTTTGGGATTCCCCCTACAGAATTGCCCTCAGGATATGTAATGTTTATCTTTAGTATCTCCCAAATGGCAAAACTCCATCTTACATAGGTGAATGTAAGATTTAGAATCATCCCTAAATAATTTTGAGCAAAATTTGGTAAATCAACTGGATAGCCACATTGGATATTGCTATCTTGGTCAAATGGTTGCTGATTTCCAGTCATTTAAATGGCTCGAAAGATGATTTGAACAGGGTCTTAGACAAGAAGATCCTTCCTGGATAAATTTGTAGTATTCAAATCTAGTGACTTTGATGCACAGAAGCTTCCTTTGAGTGTATAAGTTTTCACACATCTTTAGATGCAACAACCTTGTTAAATTATATTGTTATAGTCTAAACTAGTATATTAAATTTTTTTTAAATTTTAAAATATTTTATTTTAATATTTTAAAAATATTCAGCAAGGTATCTAGTTAGTAATTATAACATTGGTTATTATTCAAATTCCAGTTGTCCTTAGCTTTGAGATTTTAGAAGTATATGTCAATAGAGAGGAATTGGCTTGTTTTTTTTCAATCATGAATAATCCAGCCCTCTGAAGTAATAATTTTCAAGATGTTTTCAGTTGCTTTCTATGCTCAACACCTGCCTTTTTGTATCAGAATGTCTTGGAGTGCTAATGATAGGATTGCTTCTGTTGTTCTTATGCACACCTCTCCTTTAGTCTTAACGTTGGTCTGGCAAACAAGGAAGATTTAGAACACGCTTTGTGCAAATGACATATTTTTGTTCTGATGAAGTGCAGAGCAATAATGGTACTGAAAGGCGTTTCTTTTATCATGCTCTTTTACTAAGGGGAGGTGGAGAAAGGGTGAAATGAAAAGTAGAGAAATGCTAGGAGAAATCTGTGTCTACTGACAGCGTCTTCAGTTTCCTGAATAGCAAACCTCACTCATGTTGGTGGTATATTTCCAAGTGTGGTGCAAATGACTGTATGACTATCTTTTTCTTTTTAGTGGTGCTCATGTGGTTTTAGATGATGATACAGATGTGGGCTATGTCGAAGATGGAACACCATGTGGCCCATCTATGATGTGTTTAGATCGGAAGTGTCTACAGATTCAGGCCCTAAATATGAGCAGCTGCCCCCTCGATTCCAAGGGTAAAGTGTGTTCAGGCCATGGGGTAAGTAGGCATCAGTGTCCAGCTCAAATCTTCCTTGTCTGACATCCTCCAAGTTCACAGTGGTTGAACTTCTAGTCCAGCCATTCTCCTTCTGTGATTCTAGGCACTGACTATGATTATTTCCTTATATACTTATCTTCTAAGAATAATACCTAAATGTGTTGATATGGTTTTAGTTTTGTTGTTTTTTTTTATCACTTTGCATATTTGTGTATTTTTATTCTCCACAGTCTCTTGGAATCCAAGGAATTAGAAGAAAAATGATGTGATTCCTAAAGAAGCTATAGACTCTATGTGACTGCTTTGTACCATTCATAATAATTTACACTTTTCAGCAATTCCCTTTCAGCTCCTCAACTACTCAGCGTGCATGCTGAGTATCTGTGTGTTGAAGATCACACTAGACTAGAGGTTGGATCACTGCTGTAATTCACATGTATAAAGTTGGGCAGTTATGCTTGGACCATTGCTGGCAAAAGAGAAGATGTGCTCTCTACACACACCTGCATGTATCTTTAGTTCTGTGCACAAAGTGTTGGGGCAGGTACTTCCTGGCAAACGTAGGTTTATTACCTAAAAACACATGTTAGTGATTATCTAAATTGGATTTAGTAAAAGAAAAGATAGTTCAAAATTTATATAGAATTCAAAAATGGTAAAAGACATGAAGAAACTCAGAGTGATCATATCAAAGGAAGATGCTGCAGCAAAGGTGAAAACAATCCAAAATATAGATAGCTAAATGAGTGATATGTCACACAGCAAGGTAGAAAGGCGTAAGGAGGTTATGCCCAGTGACGCAGACTCATGAACAGGCAGTAGAGACTAATGATCAAGAGCGCGGATTTTGTGGCTAGAAAGGATCCCGAGTGTGAATCCTGACTCTGCTTCTCTTTATCCAAGTTACTTTGGGCAAGTCACTCAGGCTCTCTCAATCATCAGGGTGGTAGTGATTAAATGAGATCCTATGCACAAAGCACTGAGTATAAGTACCTAGCACGTAATCAATGTAGTAAATATTCAATAATTGCTATAGTAAATTAAAAGCTTCCCTGGTGGCTCAGTGGTAAAGAATCCACCTGCCAATGCAGGAGACGCAGGTTTGATCCCTGGGCCAGGAAGATCTCCTGGAGAAGGAAATGGCAACCCACTCCAATATTCCTGCCTGGGAAATCTGATCGACAGAGAAGCCTGGCAGGCTACAGTCCATGGGGTTGCGGAAGAGTTGGATACGACTTAGCTACTAAAAACAACAACAAAAGTAAAAGCATTGGGCAGACCACTCAGCTACTCAGTTATTGCTCTGAAAGCATTATATATAAAACTTAATGCATAAAAAGGTCCATGATTCTCCATTATCCCCCACTTCTTCATCTTGTTGAAAAAAAAGGTTAAATTCAGTGTGTTAATTATCATCATCGCATTATATCATTTCAAGTTAAAAAGCTGCTTATACCCATAAGCTTAAATTCAATTTTATCATCTCTAAACAATCTATCTCTGAATGTATTTCACAGGCAGATGAGGATTTAAACTACTCTGTCTCCAGTTTGTGGATGGTTATTTATTTCATCTAAATTACAGGTTCATTCCAGGGGCAGAGAGGGGGCAGAGATCACTCTAGGAGGGTCATCAGCCAGGCTGACTGAGGACTGACTCTACAGACAGACAGGGAAGGTGGTGATGGGGGGAGCTTGTGTGGCTGGGAGGATGCCACCAAATGACTTCTGTGTTGGGCACGATGAAGTAATACAGTGCATTGGTGATTTATGTCTCCTGGTATTTCACCTCTGGCAATGCCTTTTAAACCCAACATGTATTAATTTCTTTAATTAAGCATATTGTTTCTACGGTATGTTTCTAGAAGCAACTACTTCTGAAAAAGCTACATTGTCAGACGTGAGTACTTAAACAATATCAACACTAGTAATTAACATTTAATTTGAAAATTTCTTCCTTTTAATCTTTGATTTTTCTAAAATTAACTGAAAAAATATCACCCAAGTATTGGATCTATACATTGTCTAGTATTCAGAACCAGGGGAGGGGCTTCGCTGATGGATCAGTGGTAAGGAATCTTCCTGGTCTGGGAAGATCCCACATGCCACAGAACAGCTAAGCCCTGGCACCACAGCTATTGAGCCTGTGCTCTAGAGTCTCCAACCTGCAACCCCTGAGCCCACGTGCTGCACCTGCTGAAGCCCATGTGCCATAGAACTCATGCTCTGCGACACGGGAAGACACTGCAGTGAGAAGCCCATGCAGTGCAACCAGAGAGTAGCTCGCGCTCACGGCAATTAGAGAAAAAGCCTGTGCAGCAGTGAAGACCCAGCACAACCAAAAATAAAAAACAAAAAACAAAACCAGGGGAGACCTAAAAATTTCAAATGGTTTTAAAGCTTCCACCCTGTCCCATGTGTCATTTACCACCATTATTCTACCGAGTACGGTGAAAATGCCCCATCTCTGTTCTTTGTTCTTCACAGGTGTGTAGTAATGAAGCCACCTGCATCTGTGATTTCACCTGGGCAGGGACAGACTGCAGTATCCGGGATCCAGTTAGGAACCTGCACCCCCCCAAAGACGAAGGACCCAAGGGTTTGTGTGATTTCAGTTTCAATTCCTTGCATACTGAATTCATTAGTATTCTTCCAATGGCGCCAATATAACAAGTTCATAGGTTTTCTGGAGACACATAAGAATATCTCTTTTTGTCATTAAAATGTCTGATTCATGTTCCCGCAGAATTAAGGGTTCTTGGATATGACATTGAAAAAAATGCTTAAGTTACCCCTTAGTCTAGAACTGGAATTAGGAAGAGGTAAATATACCAATTTCCTTTCTTTCCTTTAAACCTCATTCTTCCATAATCACAAATGTTAATCATTTTATAGTTGGTTGAAGCTAAATCAGTTTTTTAAATAGATGAACTCTTTTTCACTGACATGAGATTCTGGTCATTCCTCAATACTTGAGTCCTTCCAGAGGAAAGTTGTAGTCTCCTATGTTCTGTTTAAGCACACTTTTGATTAGGGAGAAACTGGAATTCTTCACAGAACTTTAACACTGCAAAGAAAACTTGAAAGATCTGGACCTTTGTTTTAATCATCATTAAAAGGAGGAAAATGAGAATTTTAGAATTGGAAGGAGACTCAGTGGCCATCTAGAACAACCCTCATTCTGCAGATGGGCACTCTCAGTCCCTGAGGTCAAGTGACATCCTATGGTTACTCAGGTAAACTAGAGGCAGGGCTGGGACCAGGATCTCAGGTAACCTGAGATCACAAATGCCCGATCTCAGGCCTTTTGCTACCGTGTTATAACGTAGCCTATGTCATCTAAATGTAGTAGTCACTTTCTCCTTATTCTCCCCATTCCCAACCCCTTTTATGATTTTCAAAGAGCTGGTGAAGTCATCAGTTACAGTAGACTTACTATAATATTGTACCTGAGAAACCAACAAATCATTGGAATGGGTACTGTACACCAGTGGGCATTATATTCTACATCAGGTTCTTCCTTCTCATGGTACTGCTAACAGTATTTCATAAATAACTATCATGCTTTTTTCCTGCAGGTAGGAAAAATACATATAGAAATAGTGTCATTTTTATCTGCTTAGTTTTGGATGAAAGCGCCTTTAAAATCAAGCTTCAGTATTGTCCATAAGGGAAGCTATGATTTTGAAAGTATATAAAGTTCCATAGTCTTCAATTCCTGAAGAGATTCAGGCTGATTTGCATGCATGTGTAATGTTCAGTAGGAGTGGGTGTTAAAACACTTCATGCATTTGCTTATTATGCCACGATGTTAACATTCTATAAGAATCACAAGCACACCCTCACAATCTATTTCTGTTCTCCTTCTAGTTATAAAAAGGAACCAATTCCACTTTTACATTTAGTCTTTTGTTGCTTTAAAATTAGTATGAAAAATTCTCGGATCCACCTTCAGAACTTCGATTTAGAGACTATTTAGTCTCTGACAAGGAGAGATTCATTCTTTCCAAATTTTCTCTCCATGTCTGTGATTCTCTTAAAGATCTAAATGTTGTTTTCTCAAGTGATGTGTAAGTGTGTCTGAACAGATGAGCACAGCTGAAGTGGCTTAGACTTTGTTCTTTTTCATAAGGAATTATTAATCCATTCTCTCTCTTCTCCATTCCTTCACTCACGCATGCCTAAAAACTTATTGGGAGGCATAGAGTAAACAAATACATTCTAGAGAAGAGAAGATCCCTCGCTGCCGTTTGTTCTGTTTTGCTTTTTTCCCATTTAATGTGGTGCTGGTCTTCATTATCTTTTAAAGATAACCTTTTTGATCATTCAAGTAATACATGTTTATTGTAGAAAATTTTGAAAATACAGAAAAGATTAAAAAGGAGGTAAAAATCACTCTTAATCCAGTAACTCAAAGGTAGTCAATATTAGCATTCTGGTATATTTCTTTCCTGTTGCATATTTTCTTTTTTACTTAATTCTAAATGAAGACAGTGGAGTCCTTTGAATAAACCTACCCATGGGCTCTAAAATTGTTAAAATCTTCATGAATCTTTAATAATCTTGATTCATTTGAAAAAAGGTATTAATTGATATAAATAAATCCCCTGGAGAAGGAAATGGCAACCCACTCCAGTATTCTTGCCTGGAGAATCACATGGACGGAGGAGCCTGGTGGGCTATCCACAGAATCATAAAGAGTCAGATACGACTGAGCGACTTCACTTTTCACTTTGATATAAATAAAGAGTAGTTACTATTGTAAATTACCATATTTCCAGAAAAAGTCAAGCAGTTTTAGAACAACTAATAATGGCTCTATCTGTATTGGCCATTTATGTCTTTTCAGCCTCTGTAGAAAATTCCATTAATACACTAGGAAAATGGAAAACAACTGAAATGAAAATTTAAATACTTTACTGTAGATTTTATAGTTTTAATTTTGATATTCTGATTAAAGAAGATGGTAAGAGAGAAACTAGGTACTTTACTTCTCTTTTTTTAATCCAGATAGCAAATATTTATTGATTCTATACTATTTTAGAGTCAGCACATCCTTGCACATGATAGGCACTCTATGAATACCATATCCCTTCTATTTGGGAATATGTAAAAGAAGTGAAATGGTGCATGTTAACACTGATTTTCAGTTTATCAGAATGCATTTGTTGTATTGCCTTGCTGAAGAGTAACAGGTAACAAAATCAAGGTACTGAAACAATCAGTACTTCCCTGACTGTAGGTTCAGCACCTGTGTGAGGTGCCAAGGTTTTTCTGTATAACTTTGTGTTCTACATTTTCTCATGACTGGATTGGTTTGGTTGATACTTGACTTACTGAGCACAATCTCTGGACCCTCCCTAAATACTTGCCATAAATAATGAGCAACATCTACAATGACCTAACTTGTCATATTTGTAGATAAGGGCTTTTCAGTAGAGATACGGTGAGTATTAAAAAATACTTATTTTATTTAGTTTTAATGTACTTCCTTGTTAAGAAAAAAAATTTAAGAAGTAGAATGAAAATATTTCTTTTTAAATCATGAGATTTTATCATAAAAGATGAATTGTACCCAACTACATCTCTTTGGATCCAGATTAAATTAGTAAAAAGTAAAGGTGAATTCTGTGACTCTTTGATTTGAGAAAGTGAGAAATGAACCAGCGTGTTTGGGGTATTTCTTTCATTGTAACTACAAGTTACTAAAAGAATAAAAATTCAACCTCATCTGGGTAGGAACGAATAACACACAGGAAAGTTTTGCCATTGAAGTCATTCTGCACTGGCTCAAGTTGTTCATTGTTGACCCACTATTTAAAGCATGGAAGATAATTTGCTCCAGCTCTTAAATTAAAATTATTGAAAGACAAGAAATAGGCTCTTAAAGCAAAAATCATGTGAGCGAGATTTTTTTAAAAAGATTTTTCTATTACATATTATGTGACTCATGTTTTCTATACTGTTGTTCATTTTACCTACAAAGATGCTTCTGTCCCTATTCTCCCAACCTGTTTCCACTGAACTCCCTGCAAGAAATTATTTTGGCTTGTTCTTTGAGGGAAGAGTATGTTTGAATTCTGTTTAAAAGACCTGGAATTTCCACCTGTTATAGGGAGAGCCATGTCAAGGACTGGTCATTTTTGTGTTGTGTAGGCATCTTTGCACAGTGCTGTCGGACACGACTGAGCAACTTCACTTTATTATAGGATACAATGAGACTTTCCTCAATGGATGGTTTGCAACATCTTGTAGGAGGGAAGAGAAGAAACTGGAACATATCAAATATTTTCCCTGATATATATAAAGTCAAAGAATGGTCCTGGGAAGCTTTGGTCAGGTGCTGTCATCATGACAGTAGTAATCAGATCAGAGATAGAAGGGCCCTAGGGGCAATTCAGTTCAGACCCACTCTTCTAAAAATGAGAAAACTAGCTTAATTAATAAAGTTAACAGCTACTTAGGTGTAGAGCCAAGAATAAAACCTGCATCACCTGATCTTCAGCCCAGTGTGTTTTTTTCTGTTATTGCACACAGCCTGAGTTAAAACTGGGTGTTAAGTTATTCTGCTAGTTTTTATAACAGTACTAAGTAGAAAGAGTTAAAAAAATAAGTAATGATTAAGCTTATTAACTGATACATTACTTGTCAAAGGAAGTATTATATTGTTAGTATTTAGTATTTTGAAAACAGTTATTTCTAAGTCTATGTTGAGGAGTATTATTTAGTGTTTACCTTTGCACGTGTTTTTTGATGACTTTCTTTGTGAGTGCAGAAATCCTTGATTTTGTAATTCAGATGATTAGGTATGAGAAGTTATGATTGTCATATATAATTATGCTCTATACAATTATGTACCATCTCAGTATTTTTCTCATTACCAATGGCCTTATCAATAACAAGGATTTACTAAGTTTAAAATTATTTTGATAATTCTGAGTTTACTTTGAGTTCAGAAAAACTGCATGATATTTTCATTGAGAGCATAAACAAATACTATTCTTATAAAAAATAATTTGTTTTCTTATCCATTCAGACATTTATCCCAATGTGTCCAAAAAATGACTCAATTTTTAAAAATTTTATGTAGAAGAGTAAGCAGATCTGGTTGTACATCTAAATACTGAATTGTAGAGCTTGATAAAATATCTATCATGATAATATTATACTCTAAAGTATAAAGAATGTATTTAGTATTTATTTCTAATCTTAAATTTTAACAAAATAATAAATCTCTGCAGAAAGAACTTTGGTCCATAGAGTATAAATGATGTCTTTGATGCCTCTGGCCTTCAAAGTATTTAAGGATTCAAGATTGTAACCCCTTTTGGTTCACTGGAGTCATAGATGAAATACTGCAGCCTTTTGTTTCAGCAAGTCTTTAAAAGTAAGAAAAGAAAAAAAATCAACCTCTCAGTTTCAAAAATACAGTTTCAAAGTGTCTGAAGCATGACTTGTCTGTGAAAGAATTCTACATATAAAATAGAAATTCCTGAGAAAAAGAGAAAATTCTTTGTTCTTATCAATATTACACACTTCTCAAAAATTCTGCACTTTACATGTACACCCGTGACTGATGCATGTCAATGTATGACAAAACCCACCACAATATTGTAATTAGTCTCCAATTAAATAAATTAATTTTAAAAAGTTAACCTTTTAGCACATACGATAGCTAGGACCAAGATTAAAAATAATAATTAACCAAAAAATAACAGAAATAAAAAACAAAAGTGAAAACATACTGCTAAGTGATAAACAGTTTCCATAAACAAGTTAAATGAAAAGTAAGTACAGTAAAGAGTTGGAGAGCAAAATTAAATTCCTAATATGATTGTGTTGTTAGCTATAATCTGCAAGCCTTCTAGGTTTGGTAGGATGAAAAGAAAAATAAGGTGTATCACCAGCATGGTTCCTGGAACAACAACAACAGAACCTTTTAGTAGATAATGAATGAATGAGTGAATGAACAAATAAATACAGTTACCTAATAAATAAATTAGTAGGGAAGTAAAACTAGATTATAGGTCCCTGAAGGTCCCAGGAAATTTTTTTCAATGAGAAGATAAATTCTTTTTAGCTGGGAAGAGCAGCTGAGACCTTAGTTTTTTTTTTTTTTTTTTTAAATTTTTATTAGTTGGAGGCTAATTGAGACCTTAGTTTTTAAATATCCCCTGTACACATCCATCCACCTGTGAGCCACTCAGTAAATTCATGTCTGTTTGAAAACAGGTTGAGTTGCAACCTACTGGAAGAGATAAGCCTGTTAAGTGTCATGATAAAGAATCAAATGAATTTTGCATATATTTTTAGTTAAAAAGTAGTGGGAGTGCAGGAGAGCAAAGAGGGGAAAGGATATTTTTGGAAAAGCTGTTTTTCCACTTACTTTTATCTTGTTTTGGTGTTGAGTACTCATCAGTTAAGAATTGGAGATAATTGCTCTTGCCCAGGGGAGATTACAGATTATATCTGTTTATCTTGAATACATATTTGAAGCATCTGTAGACTCCTGTTCATCTGGTTGTTTCTAACACCTGCATGATCAATTGCCTAATTCTCTGGATTCTGTGGTGACAAATTACATCCAGAGCAAATACAAAAAGTCTTTTAAAATAGATGTTGTTATTTATCACTTACATAGTTATTATAAAAATAACAAATATTCATTCAGCATTATGTTTTAAAAGGATTCTTTACCATCTGAAAGGGATATGTTAGTTTCTTATAATTTAGCACATACAGCTTTTATAAAATATTAAAGAGGTAATCGGACTCTCGTATATTTTGGGTCTGAGGGACAATGCCCAGCAAAAAGTATGTATATAACATGATGTGTCCTAGTTAAGTTAGTATTCTGAAAGCAATAATTTTCTATGGCCTCAAAAGAAAAAAAATGAGGCAGTCTATTTGGAATACATTTCCTCTCAGTATTTACCTCCACAATTTGGAAATCTGAGCTTTTATTTAGGTTATATTGAATTATAATGGATTGTCATATTTGAAACACATTGCTCAGTTCTCAGCTGTGTCCGAATCTTTGCAACCCTTTGAACTGTAGCCCACCAGGCTACTCTGTCCGTGGGATTTTTCAGGTGAGAATACTGGATTGGGTTGTCATTTCCTCCTCCAGGGGGTCTTTCAGACCCAAAGATCAAACCCAAGTCTCCTGAGTCTCCTGCATTGCCGGCTGAGTCTTTACCCTTGAAGACCGTTACCATCACCTTATATGTTGGTCTTCTTTTCTTCCCCTCAATGCTCTCCACAGGCTTTGTCTGTTTTTTGTTGTGTCCCCTATTGTTTTTTGTTATTTGAAGAATAACTCAGGTTGTATTTAGTTAATGATAAAGCTAGACTATCTGACTCATACTATTTACTCTGTGATCATACTATTTACCCTGTGATAAAATGGAGTAATTATACAATTGCTCATCAGGTTTATACATTCAAAGTCCTCTCTCTTCTTTGGGAGAATATTTAGCTAAAAAGGTCAACAAACCCAATATTAAGCCTTAAAAAATTGTGACTTTGAGTCATGGGTCTTTGTGTGTTTCCTTGTGTCTCAGAGCATACAATTTATGTGAATACAGCCTTGTGGAAACTGATTTTTTAATCTTCATTGTTAAAGTGAAGGGAACCAGTTCTTTTGGTTCATATAGAAATGTGAGTTAAAGTGCATTTCTGTCCAGAGGTTTGCATGCATAGTCACAGACACAGACTCACAGACATACTCAACCCTAAATAACCTGCCTTCCTCCAACACTAAATTTCATCTTGCCCAATCAGGGAGCACTAGGGACCTGTGCTCATTCCAGGCCCATTTTTCAATATTCAAAATCTGTTCACAGAAGCTTTGATGTGTGGGGATGGAGTGTCTCCACTGAGTCAAACACTGCTGGGTCGTCTGAAACAATTACTACAGCATCATTGAGACCCTAACTTTCTCTCAGCGCATAGTTTATACACTGGAGGCTATAAAAAAACTAAAAGTGTTCCAGTACTATGTATGTCCCAAACACTGAAGGTTATTTGAAATATACTTCTCCAGATAAAATAATTTTCTGGCTGAAAATACAGTCCATTTTAAAGATAACTCTATTTTAAATTTGTAAGTATGTTCATAAAATTTGAATGATAAGTTCTGAGTTTTAAAAAAGATATAGCTTCTTAGGCATATTTTGCAGTTTGAGAAGTTTATAAAGAGTATACTAATGGTTTACTGCTTTTATAATAAACACAGATTTGCTGCTATGCAATTAAAATTACTTTAATTAAAATTAATTTTATCTCACTCCATGTAGGACCTATAACTCAAATTGGATTATTTATTATACATGTTTAGAGTATAAGAGACTATGTTTTAAGTAGGGTTTTTTGGAATTTGAAGGTACATTCAGAATTATTCTCAAATATTTGCAATGTGTATGTAGATCTTAATTTCAAATCTTTAGGCAAAGATCTCAATATTTGACTTTCAAAGCATTTCCTGAACAGATTATGTTGTGTGTTAGTGATATCAGTGTGTGATTAATTTCCTTTGTTAAAAACTCTCCGTTTTCCCTCCACACAGTGAACATGGCCACAAGCAGGCTAATAGGTGCCGTGGCTGGCACCATTCTGGCCCTGGGGGTGATTTTTGGAGGCACAGGGTGGGGAATAGAGTAAGCATCTTCTGAGTTTCAGCGTGCTTCTGTCTGACCCCCGGTGTGGGAGCTGGCCCTTGGCCCCTGACTCCCCGTGTGCTGTCTCGTTGCTGTGTACCCCTTGTGGTGTGATCTGAATGTCTTTGTGTCCTCTGGTTTTCTTGTGCAGTGGAAAACCTTCTCCTGTCTGGAACAATGTGGGGCATAAAATAATACTGGGGTGTTGATGATGTCTTCACAATTAAGGCAGTGGTCCCAAAGCTGCCATTGCTGCTCCATTTATAAACGTAATTTTAATATACAAATTTTTTTTGCCAAACCGTTAACACAAATGCTTTTCTATGAGGGTTTTGTTAGGATTCTTATAACAGATTTAACCTTCACAGTCAAATGGTCTAATTGCTAAGTCACGTCCAACTTTTGTTACTCCATGGACTGTAAGCCACCAGGCTCCTCTGTTCGTGGAATTTCCCAAGCAAGACTGCTGGAGTGGGTTGCCGTTTCCTTCTCCATCATTAGTCCAATAGATCCACATATACAGCTAGAAATTATCAACAGTGGTAGCTCCTTTTAAAGAAAATCCAAATGTAGCCACTAACATTTGCTCTGTTTATTTAGAGTGATATAGGAGCCTTCAGCTTAATGTTTTTTTAAAAAAGAAGCTATTTAGTTTACCAGTTTTTTTTAGGAAAGACATTTACGATACTCCTTATTTTCTTCTTATAGAATAGTTAATCATTCAAATCCAAAGGTTGCATAAATATTTGGAAACAAAGAGCATAAAGAAAAAGAAGATATTTAGTGTAAACCTACAAAACCTTAGGTGAACAGTTGCAAATAATCTAGTGCATTTGTCTTAAAGAATAACCAGTGTATAAATAAATCTACTGTGTGCCACTTGCCCTATACAGAAATACAGCTCTCCTTGGTGTTTTATTTATGTTGCTTTGTACTTGATCCACATCCTCACAACGGCTATCAGTTCTCTATGGGGTATTGCTCTTATGAGATTGCTAATCTGTAGACTAAAAGATTATCCTGATATTTTTTCCCCTCTAATTACAGAGAGAGCATATACAAATAATAGAAATACTCCCAATACATGCTGTCTTTTCTATTGAGTGTAGTGGTGATAACATTTCCCAGTGGCTGGGGAATGAATTCCTAGTATTTTAAAAAATCACAGATAGCCTCTATTCAACAACCTCCCCAAACCCTGGGCATGTTGCTAACATCACTCATGTTTCTCCTTAGTCCTGTTAGTGGCCACACATAGTACGGTATGGGCCTGGGAGACCTAGATGCCAAATTAGCATTAACAGAGGAACAAGTCCAGAGGTCACACTTTCCACTATAGATTTACTAAACTTTCTCTCCCCTGCGTCAAAGGGCTTTGTCTGGACTGGGATGTTTTAATTCACATCCCATCTCTATGGACTGTGAGGCTAATTAACCCCAGGAAGCTAGAAATACTGGAAAATATATTTTATTTCTCACTTGTTAGAAAATAAATATTTTATTTCTCCTTACTTACTTATATATGACAGAGCTAAAATATTTAGAGAAAGCAAGAACTTTGTCCTGTAAAATTTCACTTTAGGTGTGTTAATTGGATTATACACAGAAACAACATTTCTTTTCCAAGAGAAATTCTTTATATACATTTATGTGAAATTCTTCCTTGAAAAAAGGTAGTTTTCAAAAAAGTCATCCCAGTTCCTTTTTTTGTATTATTTATTGGCCATAACTGCAATGTACTAATGAAATGGATACGTGTTAACAAATTCCCCTTGGAGTCTTAGAGCTGGGCAAAATTGAAGGCAGTTGCTCCGAAGCATAGTCTTTTTTACCAGCCTTTGTTTTCTTTACTCTTCCACTGTTGTAAGTTTGTGGCTATTTCTGGGTGTGACAGGTAAGTCCACATAAGTACTACTATATTTAAACTAGGTAACCAATAGGACCTACTATACAGTGCAGAGAACTCTGCTCAATATTCTGTAGCAACCTAAATGGGAAAAGATTTTGAAAAAAAAATGGATACATGTAAACATGTAACTGAATCACTTTGCTGTATACCTGAAACTGACACAACAATGTTAATCAACTGTATTAAAAAAAAAAAAACAAACAGAAAAAGAAATGTGGGAAGGAAGTTCAGCTAAGTGGGATAGTGTTTAGCAATCTTTGTGTAAAGATAGTAAGTTGTTTTGACTTTGCAGGGTGTCTGTTATAGCCTTGTGTTCTACCTCTATTGGCTCTGCCTGAAATCAGCCATAAACAGTATTTAAACCAGTGATCATGGCCATGTTCCTATAAAACTTCTTTGCCAGAAAATTCATCAGGGACAAATTTGGCCTGTGGGCTGTAGTTGGCTGCCCCTCAGTTTGTAGCATAAGCTTGAGAGTCAGACAAATCTGTGTTCAGATTTTGCCTCTGTCGCTTATTAATGTCTAGAAGCCTCTGTTTCTTCATCTATTAAAGAGGGATAGAAATAGTTCCTATCTCATACGGGTTTTATGAGGATCAAATGAAATACTAATATTTGTCCAAGCACTTAGAACTGCACTTGGTAAATAGCAAGTGCTCAATATACAGTAGGTAATCTTGTTCTTGCTCTTGCAATTATTTATTATTGTCAGTGGGGCTCTACAGGTGCTAGAACCTCAGTGGTTCATCTTAAGAGCATGTCCCTGTCCAGGAGCCTGTGAAGACCACGTCCCCAACACTCCCATTGCCCTATACTCTATCCCACTCATGCCCACAGCACTGGAAGATCTTAGTAAAAAAGATATAATGCACACAGTTTTAGTGCAGTGGCATCCATTTACATACAGAGCTGAGGGCACTAATGTGAGCAGAAAAGAGAGTTTTTTACACAAAAATGAATGTATGCACAAATTCAGGATTTTAGGAGAACTATCAAAATTGGTTTCATGACTTCTGGAACAGAGATAAATAGGACTGGAATTAGTTTGCTATTAGGAGCATTGTACCTGCATATTAGCCCCCTGGAGGATGTGATACTTAGAATAATTCATGTACTGAAGTTAATGTTGCTTATATTTAAAAACAGTGTGCTAAGGTGTTTTCCATGTGAATAGAGAGGATTTACTATATGTTTCAACTGTTACTAAAATTGACAAAAAAATTCCACTTTGCATTTTCATTCTTGCTGTCTTTACTTCTCACTTCTTTTTTTTTTTCTCAAATGTCTCCAAGCCTCAAGTTTCTCTTAGTAATACCTGGAAATTTGAAGATAGAGTCAGTTGAACTTAAGGAATCTTTATCCTATTTCCCCAAAATTACTCAAATAAATTTTATGCTTCCTTTGTATCTTGTCCTTGGATTTCCATGTTGCTGTGTAAACACTGTATGGGTCTCTGGAATGAAGAAGTATCTTTGGGCACTTCCCAGTTAGATCTTTGTTGGTACCTTCCTTCTTCCTTCTGAATTTTAACTGTCTTCAATGAGGGATAAAAAATTTAGCATTTAGAAAACTTTTTCTGCTGCTTGCAAGAGCACTTTAGTGGAATATTTTTCGTTCTTTTCATGCCTTCATTTGCCAGCCAGAGAGTACAAATTCTAATGCCGTCATGTTTATTCGTTCTTTTACTTTTTCGCTTCCTGATCCCGGGGTAGGGGAGGAGAAAAAATATGGGCGATGGCAGCAAGTGGGCATCTGTAACTTTCTTCAGATTCTGCAGAAGGTGAATGGAATGGAACTTACTCTGTCGGTGGTGCAGAAACTTTAGATTTATAGGCAGGTGAATCTAAGCAATAGCTGTCTATAAACAAAGGTGATGTAAGTGTTTAGTGATCCTTTTCAGAGGGGATTTGCTTCCTGTAACTGCTCATCTGCCTGTCCCTGGTGGTGATGAAAGCGGTCAGCTCATATGACTTTCTTCCCATGATCCTTTGCCACAGGTCCTAGCGCCACCAATCTCATAATAGGCTCCATCGCTGGTGCCATCCTGGTAGCAGCTATTGTCCTGGGGGGCACAGGATGGGGATTTAAGTAAGCAATGCCGCATGTCTTTTTCTCAGTGGCTCTGGCACTTCTCTATTCTGCTTACATAACCAGGTTTTGAGTTCCTGCTACCAGATTTTGAGTTTTAACAGTATAACTACTAAAAATAGATATTTGTGTCCAGAAATGGGTCAGAAAAGAAGAAACATGGAACCTCAAATATCATCTTCAGGCAGATGGGAAAACACAAAATGTAGAAAGCACTTCCATGCAGTACTTAAAGGAGAAGTTCTTTGATAAAAGTAGTTTTAGGAGCAAGCATCCTGAGAAACATTTATTTATATGCAGATAATCCAGGAAACTGTTGTTGGGTATAAGTGCATCTCCTCATACAAGTTCTTTGTATCTGTTTAAAACTGGTTTATATGCCATTGACATTTTGAAATTTTCACAACCTTATTTTTAGCATGTATAGCTTTGTTATTTGAAAAGCTTTATTATTTTATAAAAACATTAGAAAACAGTTTCATTAATTCCCTAACCTACTAAATCGGTGTCTCATTGGAATTTGAAGTCTGTGGCTTTGTGTCACTTAATATTTTTTAATGAACTGTTAATATTGACATGACTGGTAGACTAGGTGTGTTTTCATATGACCTTTCAGTTTGGATTGTACCTTGATCACTGAAGTAACTTTGTTTAAATAGACACCCCAGATAGTCACAAACAGACCTTGATTGTGATCCAAATTTTTGAACCTATTTTATCCAGTTCGGTGTTTCCATACCTTGAATTCATTGGTAATTGATTCCTATATCTTTTTGTGCTGTGATGACCTGTTTATTGTGATTTGTAGATAAGACCTAATACTCCCTGGGCCAAATACTCCCTGTGATAAATTCAGTTTCAGTTAGATCTAGGGAAACAAATTTAAGTGGGAAATAAGAACATTACCCAATTCAAAACCCACTTTGCCTCCATCTGGTTACTTAATAGAGGAAGTTTTTGACCTGAATTATCTGAGTAATTACCTCAATTATGAACTTTTTTA